TACCACAGACTATTATGAGGGAATTAATATCACGGACATATTCAAAAGATGAAATTTAATTAAACATTAAGAAATGCTATTTCAAAGCTACACACCTCAATTTGAGGAAAAGCATTTTCAGAAAATCAAATTTAAGAAAATATATGAAAAGATTTTCAAATAAATGTAAAATTTAATATCGAAAATTCACATGTAGTTTTGAATAACATCTGTGATCACTATGTTGTTCTTTTTTATTTCACATCTTATAAAATGTAACTGGCATTTCCAGCATTTGTACCTTATGATGATTCACAGCAAATCATTATTGGAGTCTAAAAATCAGAATCAAATGCATAATGCACTCCATCTTGCCTCGTTTTGTAGTGCAAGTGCAAACTAGAAATGTGTCGTCACGCCACAGATGCCCCGCATGCAGCCAAAATATCAGATGTTTTAATAAAATTAGTTCAAAATTTGTTTGAAATACTATCTGTTTTTCATTTTTGTTTCCACAAACTATTTTGTTTTTTGTCATTTTAAGTTCAAAGCCCTTAAAACTATTCATAAAGTGTAATTATAACATACTTATAGCCAAAATAATGACTACATACATTCCCACAAAAGTATGAAAGCTGAAACAAAGTTTTCCAACATTCAAGAGAGATTACTTTGTCCAAAATCATTGAACCAGGACCAAATTCAAACTTGAACTGCTTATCCCTTAGATGTATCTACATGACAAATTTGAGTTGAATGTGTACAACCATTGGCAAGATAATGAACTGAAACAAAAAAAAATCTGATTTTTTCGAAGTTCAAGAAGGATAACTCTGTCAGCTATTATCAAACCATGACCAAATTCCAACTTGACCAGTGTATTCTTATGACATATCAACATCTTAAATTTGAGTTGAATATGTACAACTGTTGGGGAGATAATGAACAGAAACTGAAAATTTCATATTGGTTTCAAAGATAAGGGGAATGACTCTGCCAAAAATCATTGAACCATGACCAAATTCGAACTTGACCTGCGCATTCCTTTGACGTATCCATATGTCAAATTTGAGTTGTATGTATAATACCATTAGGGAGATAATGAACCGAAATTGAAAATTTCATATTATTTTCAAAGTGAAACGGGCATAACTCTGCAAAAAATCATCAAACCATAACCAAATTCTAACTTGACATGCGCATTCCTTTGACGTATCCATATGTCAAATTTGAGTTAAATGTGCACAACTGTTGGGGAAGATAATGAACGGAAACTGAAAGTTTAATCAAGAGGCATTACTCTGCTAAAAATCATGGGACCATGACCATATTCGAACCTGACCTGTATTTTCTCTTTATATATCAATATGTGAAATTTGAATTGAATGTGTTCAACCGTTACGAAGATAATGAACAGAAACTGATGATGACGGAATGAAGGAAAGACAGAACAAGGTATCACTATATGACCAAAAATGCCCCCGCCATTTTATGGCAGGGGCATAAAAAATCTATATCAAACCCATATTGTACTCTACCTAGCATTGTTTTCATTATAATTAACCTTTTTTGCCTGAAGATTGTTTAAGAACAAGAGCATGTTTGTTAAACACCAATGCCCCCCGGTTCGATTCTTGTCAGAAGCAATATTTCAAAAAATGTTTACCCATTCACTCAGTTATGGACAGAAACATTGCCAAAAATTGTAAACACAAGTTATATAGCTTGACAGAGTCATGGCATTTTGTAATTTTGAAATATATAAGTTGCCAAGTCATTGCTATGACTTGTGAAGTGATAAATATTCAACTTTATCAAATATATATAAATGTAGGAAATCTATACTTGGCACCCTTGACCCACTGACACCTATAGAATATCATGCAAGTTATCATCCTACCAAATATGAAATACACCTGTCAATAAATAAAGGCTGTATGGGCAAATATGTTAAAACCTATTTTGAGCATGATGACCTTGACCAAACTGACCCCTAACTCCATCCAAAGGAAGAATACCATGCAAGTTATCATCCAACCAAATATGAAATAAATCTGTCAATAAATAAAGGCTGTATGGGCAAAAGTGTAAAAATCTATTTTTAGCACATGTGACCTTGACCCAACTGACCCCTAACTCCATCCAAAGTAAGAATAACATGCAAGTTATCATCCTACCAAATATGAAATATATCTGTCAATAAATAAAGGCTGTATGGGCAAAAGTGTAAAGATCTATTTTTAGCACTAGTGACCTTGACACACTGATCCCTAACTCAATCAAAAGGAAGAATACCATGCAAGTTATCATCCTATCAAATATAAAATACACCTATCAATAAATAAAGGCTGTATGAGCAAAAGTGTAAAAATCTATTTTTAGCATTGTTGACCTTGACCCAACTGACCACTAACTCCATCAAATTTTATGTTCCTGTCAATTATAAATGACATCTCTCTATAGAAAATGGTTAATACACCTGTAAAAATATAAAAATCTATTTTTAACATTGGTGACCTTGACATTGGTGACATTGACATTGACCCAAATGACCCCTTACTATATCCAAAGAAGGAGGACCTCCCTTGGCATGTTTGTATTAAACATGAAAGACATCAACCAAACAAGAGGGCCATGATGGCCCTGAGGTCGCTCACCTGTATATAGGCCCCCCCCCCCCCCCCCCCAACGTTGCAGGGCCAATTTAACCCAATGGCTTTTATTTGCACAAACTTGGTAGACACCCATAAGAAGATGTTTCATGCTAGACATCTAAGCTTTAGCTCATTGGGCTTTTTAAAAGAAGATTTTTTTAAATTTTAACTATACACATATAGTTAAAAACAATGACACCCCTGGGGCCGGGCCAGTTTTGACCCCAGGGCTTTTATTTGAACAAACTTTGTAGACACTTACTAGAAGATGTTTCATGCTTAATATCTAAACTCTAGCTATTTGGGTTTTTTCAAAGAAGATTTTAAGTTTTTGCTATACACATATAAAGAAAATCAATGACCCCCTGGGGCAGGGCCAATTTTGACCCCAGGTCTTTTATTTGAACAAACTTTATAGACACTCACTAAAAGATGTTTCATGCTGAATATCTTAACTCTAGCTATTTGGTTTTTTTCAAAGAAGATTTTTTAAGTTTTTGCTATACACATATAAGGAAAATCAATGACCCCCGGGGCGGGGCCAATTTTGACCCCAGGGCTTTTATTTGAACAAACTTGGTAGACACTTATTAGAACATGTTTCGTGCTTAAATATCTTATCTCTAACTCTTTTGGTTCTTTAAAAGAAGATTTTTTAAGTTTTTACTATATGCATATAGGGAAAATCAATGACCCCCTGGGCGGGGCCAATTTTGACCCCAGGGCTTTTATTTGAACAAACTTGGTAGACACCCATTAGAACATGTTTGATGCTAAATATCTTAGCCATAGCTCTTTGGGTTCTTTAAAAAAAAATTTTTAAAGTTTTTACTATATGCATATAGGGAAAATCAATGACCCCCTGGGGCGGGGCCAATTTTGACCCCAGGGCTTTTATTTGAACAAACTTGGTAGACACCTATTAGAACATGTTTGATGCTAAATATCTTAGCCATAGCTCTTTGAGTTCTTTAAAAGAAGATTTTTTAAGTTTTTACTATATGCATATAGGGAAAATCAATGACCCCCCGGGGCGGGGCCAATTTTGACCCCAGGGCTTTTATTTGAACAAACTTGGTAGACACCCATTAGAACATGTTTCATGCTAAATATCTTAGCTCTAGCTCTTTGGGTTCTTTAAAAGAAGATTTTTTAAGTTTTTACTATATGCATATAGGGAAAATCAATGACCCCCTGGGGCGGGGCCAATTTTGACCTCAGGGCTTTTACTTGAACAAACTTGGTAGACACTCACTAGAAGATGTTTCATGCCAAATATCTAAGCTCTAGCTCTTATGGTTTTTTAAAAGAAGATATTTAAAGTTTTTTCTTTCGGTTGCCATGGCAACCAGAGTTCTGCATGGAATTAAATTCTTTGAACAATTTTTAAAGGTGACCACCAAAGGAACATTCCTGTGAAGTTTGGATGAAATATGCTAAGTGGTTTATGAGGAGATGTCATTTAAAGTAAAAGTTTACGGACGGACGACGGACGCCGGACGGACGGACGGACGGACGGACGCCGGACGAAAAGCGATCACAAAAGCTCACCCTGTCACTTTGTGACAGGTGAGCTAAAAATAAAGGCTGTATGAGCAAAAAGGTTTAAATTTATTTTCTAAACCAGTGACCTTGACCCTAGAGACCACTTACTCCACAAAAAATTAGAGGACCATTAAAGGTATCTACCTACCAAATATGCAAGATATCATTAAATAAATCAAGCAATTAAGAGAAATTACGATAAATCCAACTTGCCGGAATAGGTTAACCAGACAAGGCCCTATTTTCAAAGTGAAAAAAGGTAAATAACTGGGAAACATGAATGACACAGTTATATAACTTGGCAATATAAGTACTTTGTATTGATAAGTAAGTGTGGAAATTATGAAGCCATTAGTATAGATAGAACTTAAGATATTTCCAACTTGCCGTTTAAGGTTAACCATTATTCATTTTCTAAGTGCTGAAAAGGGCAATAACTTGGTAAATATGGAAGCCATAGTTATGTAACTTGACCAGATCATGTACTTTGTATTGATTAGTAAGTGTGTCAACTAAGAAGCCATTGGTACAGGTAGAACTTAAGAAAAATCCAACTTGCCGTTCTAGGTTAACCTTGTACGGACAGACGGACGGACTTTACAGCTTGTACTCATAGACACTTGGTTTCGGGTTAAAAACCCCTTTGAATGCACTCCTGTAGTAAAACGGCAGTGCTGGGACCAAAACATGCAGGGACACATGTCAGGCACACAGATCAGGCACACAGGTCAGGGAAAAACTTTTTCAAGGGAAAACCCTGCAGAACTGGCAACTAGATGAATAAAAATCATTTTAGAGAGCATGACAAATTTACACAAAAAATATCTTTACCATTTTTATTACAGTTCAGGATTTTATGATATAAAGTTATGCTACAAAAAATGATGATCTTACACAGTACATGTGCTTTTTACTCTATCACATCAGTATACATGTATTTCTATTCAGTTAAATAAAATATCACTATTTTTCGACTTATCAATTCAATATTTTTTTGTGATATAACATGAAATTACACCTGTAACCATAGTGTATATTAAGTAATGCTGGAATGCAAAAATAATTTGATTCACACGATTTTTGTCCAGTAAGTGTGCTAAAACTGCTATCTTTACATGCATGTGTTACTGGATATTATACAACAGTGATATCTGATTTAATATTTCATTTTTTCCACTTCCATATAACTTACCAACGATTAACAGAATTTCAGCTCAGGATGTATTTTAAAAAATGTTTTTGTTCATTCAAGCACGAGAAAATAATAAACACATAGCACATCAATGTTGGACAACCAGTCAAGTTTTATTATGCTAAATAATGAATTATTGCTATGTCTTTATGGCAGCTTTTTGTTGAGATTGTTGGAACTGGGTTTGTAGTTTCTGTAATATTTCCTTCTGGGATTCTTGCTTCTTGTCTAAATCTTTGATCATATCCTCATGTCTTTTACTGTAAAATAAAATACATGAAATGAGCCGCGTCATGACAAAACCAACATAATGGGTTTGCCACCAGCATGGATCCAGACCAGCCTGCGCATCCGCGCAGTCTGATCAGGATCCATGCTGTTTGCTATCAGTTTCTCTACTTGTAATAGGGTTTGTAAGTAACAATATCAGCAAAAGATTATGGTAAATGATTATTTTGTGAAAACTGTAACAAGATACCAAAAATTAAAAAAAAAATTGAGAAATGAAAATGATAGCATTTCTGAGGCACAATGGGCCTTTAATTTTTATTTTTTTTTTTAACTTTTGAACTTTATTAGTGGAAAACACCTCAGGTTATTAAATCAAATCTCCCAAGAATCCCTCAGGTGCCTCTATACATCTGAGTATTCTTATCTAAGAAAACCCGATTTTCTAGAAAGTGAGAAATCTCCAAAAAAGTCCTCAGCTCTCTACATGTGCACTTGGGTATTCAAAATCTCCCTTTTCTAAACTGATTATAAGCTTCCTCAGTGAAAGATTCATGAAAGACTATTGGTATAAATGGAAATATTATGAAATCTGAATCCTTCATTAAATAAATGATAAACAATGTACTTACACTTCTCCGCTAATGTAATCAATTCTTTTCTGAACAACTTCTTTGGCCTCAGCAATATCCTGTTTTACAAATACTGGACCAATCATTTTGTAAACATTTGCAGAGGAATCTAACTTTACCAACTCCTGTAAAAGTACCATATAGGAAGTTTCATAAATACATTTACCAAATGGCAATCTCTTGCATTTAAAATGGATCAAGAAAACAGAATAACAAAGTCATATCCTACATGTACCAGATAACAATTTCTTGTATTTTGAAAGGATAAAAAAACAGGAATACAAATTTGCTTCCCTGATAAAATATTCTATTGCTATGATTTCACAATAGAAATTTTAACATCAGCGTTTTGAACAACTTATCCTTTCAATTTAGGTTACATTATTTTCATCCCTTATAGTCCCGTACAGCAAAATACCCATCAAGAGAAAAAGCAAAGCTATAAAAACTACTAATCTGTTAGCTGGTGTACTTATTTGACCTTAGTTTTCATTTTCTATTAATGACAAACCTCATAGTTAACATATATTTAATTATAAATAATTAAATATATTTTTCCTATTTAATTTTAACATTTGAAATCAAAATTTAAAATTCCAAACACATGTATTGCTTAAGTTAGTTTCACATTTTAACTTCCAAGCACATGTATTGCTAAAGTTTGTTTCATATTTTAACTTCTAAGCATATGTATTGCTAAACTTAGTTTCATATAGACCAGGAAAATATGAATCATTACAAACATTGCCTTACCTCTTTTACAAGTGTATTTTCACTAAGTTGTCCATCTAGTACTTGTCTAGCTTTCACAAACTTCTGGTGATCTGTAAAATTTGAATATCTAAATGAGGTATGTACATGTAAATCAGTTATCTAACTTTTCTTTCATCTAAAGTGCATATACAGCTTATGACTTAAAATAAATGTCTTTGATCAATAATGTAACCAGCACAAAGTGCCTCTTTTTTTGCAACAACCTATCTTTTTTCACCCTCGATCAGTTATTAGAATACTTAAGGTAAATACAGTAAGCTAAGTTAGTAGTTCTATTTTCGTCTTTGTATTTTGATAACAAAGTCCCTCAAACTTTGAATGGACTGTTCCATATTCAAAAGCAGGGCAAATTCATAACACAAATTCAACAGGTTCAACTATTAAATTGGAAAATATTAGTGTGAGAACTATGGAAAAATTAAGCAATATTCTATACAAATTACAATGTAGTATAAAAGACTTTTTTGCTATCAGATTCTGTAATCTATATCTACATGTTTCTTTTTTCTTGTGGGGATCATAAAAAATGAAAATACAGTATTTTGTCAAAATAAAAAGCTCTTGATATTAAATACTAAGTATTACTACCCATTAACACAGGCACAAACTCATCACTTAAGGTAGCAATAATTAGCAGACATTACAATCATTATCTTTTCTTCAGTCCATATGCTTATTACCCATAGCCAAAATTTGTACAAGTAACATCCGAATTTATGTACATTTATTTCAAAAGGTTGATTGTTTATGTATATTTTCATTTCATTTGTACAGCTCACAATTAAATTATTATAAAATTTAAGTGACTGATTTTTTATTGATCCTTTGGCAGTTGTAAATATCCGAAACTTTTTCTTAAGACGTCATTGTGACTAAAATATTAACAAATCAGACTGAGACAAATTTTTTGAAAGCACACATGCAATTGAGACCGGGTTTAGACTGTTTCTAACAATTGGTAGAATTTTGTGCATAGCCAGATACATTTAATTTCAACAAAGCATGTTCATGATATATGAAGAGAGTGAAAACGCTTTTGTGCCTGTTATATGCTTTACCATTGACATGTCTATAGTATAATGCTTACATTAAGAGCGTGATTATGCTATTTTGTATAGCCGCTAGTATAGCGCAAATGCCATCACATTGGTGGAATATATCTTCAGACCCCAGAGTCTATTCAAGGATATCGCCGTATATATATCATAGTGAAAAATTGCTAAAGTTATTTAGTAATTCTAAATAATTTCAAAAATGTTAAAGAGAAAAAGTTTTATTAATTGAATCTAATTTCTTTCAAGGAAGTGGCTAGCCGTACGGGCCCGTACGGCTAGCCAAAAGTTCTAGCCGTACGTGACTCACGTACGACTAGCCTGGACACACTGTATTGGCTAGCCGTACGGCACTTTTCAAAATTATATGGAAGTCGAAAATGCATATGTTATTTTGTGTCTTTAAACGACGATTTTAATCAAATCTCCGCATTTGTCCTAGTGTGTTCACTTTAATAAAGAAGCTCCGCAATTTTGCAAAAAAAAAATAAATTGAATACGAGTAAGCGTTGTATAATCTATCTTAATTTTCATGCTTATGATTTGTATGACAGATGAATTGTTAAATCTGTTAATTAAGCACATGGGTCGAATAAATAATGATCGGAGGGGAATAAATAAATAAATAAAAAGAACATTAAAAAAAAACGGTGAAAAGGAAAAAATAATTTAATAATGCAAACGTTCCTTAATGATGGACGATGGACAAACTTCTATACCGTCGGTAATTGACGCAATTATCAGAGCCCAACAACAATTATTTTCGGTGTTTTTTTTTTCTCAATTTAAAAATTAAACTTAATGAAACAAAAAACGATTATTATCAAAATTTTGTAAACTATTTCAATTGATGTTATTTAACTGACGCTATTTTTTCTCGACGTCTTGAGATGACAATTTAAGTACGTACATTCTTTACTGAAGCCATGCAACACGTCGATTAATCTCTAAAAAGTAAACATTCTTGACTTAAATCCTCGCTTAAAGTCATAATTAACATATGTACTTTCGCCTTCCATATTTTTGAAAAGTGCCGCACGGCTAGCCAATACAGTGTGTCCTGGCTAGTCGTACGTGACTCATGTACGGCTAGAACTTTTGGCTAGCCGTACGGCTAGCCACTTCCTTCTTTCAAAGAACACAAAAAAATATCTCAAGATTAAATAATTTTCAGAATCAAGCATTAGACAACAACGTATTTCACTACTTGGCCTTCTGTTTAGCATTCATGAACTCATTTACAGAGCTTAAAATACATAAAAGTTTGCACGATGATTACAAATTGTCGAATTGACCTTTTCGAAAAGGTGAAATCTCGGGTCTCGCGAGACTGCCGTGTAACGCGAGATGACGAGCTCTGGGGAATCGGTGCACTGAGATGGAAAACCATGTAAACAAATAAGGTTTACCACCAAAACGCTGATTTAAGGCTTTTCATTAAGTTGTAAGTTAATTGGACTTATATTTTATCATAATTGCTAAGAATTTTGGAACAGTATGAGAATGCATTCGTAAATTAGAGGTAAAACTGTCTCCAATTTCACGTAAAAAGTGGGTGGGGTAATGTAAACAAAAATCAGTTGACTTACCATAAATTATCACCGATTTTATTTTAAAGGTAGGAAACAATGTATAATAACTGACTTAATTTTTGGTTAATATTTATCTTACTGCATTGTTCATTAATTAGGTTTATTAAATTCAAAAAAGTGTGATAAATATGGTAAACAATAGGCCTACCGTGGGTGTTATTTGTAACTGTTAATAATACATTTGTCACTCAAATTATACTAACTAACTAATTTATTTAACTTAATTTGCAGGTACTATGGGTTGTGATGATTATTGCTGTGTGCCTTTGTGCAACCATAAGAGAAGCCGTGATAGTCCATGTCAAACTTTCTACACAATACCCACAGAACCTAAGTGGCTATATGAACAGTGGCAAGCACGCATTAAAAGGTATTACAAAGATGAAACGGGCAAACTCAGAAAGTGGGAAGCAACAGATAACCATCGTATTTGTGACTGCCATTTTACGGAGGAGGAAAAATCTACAATTTTACATCCTAAATGTCGTAAGCCTGGAAGAAAACTTGTTTTGCCATCAATATTTCCTAACAGATTGACAAGCACAAAAAAGCAGAGAACCACCTCAAAGGCGACCAACAGAGAATATACTCCTCCCATGTCAAAAAGTAAACCAAGAAAACTGTATTTTGTAAGTAGTTCATCTTCTTCATTTTAATTTTTGTTTTTTTAAATACACTCTAAACTTTGTATAACTTTTAGTTTAAGAAATCTGAAATAAATATAAGACAAAATTATGCAAAATATAACCCGACACACAAGTAATTGCTACATAAGGTCACAGTTCACATCACATTCATACATAATCATATGACTCAATTTTTTTAATTTTAACTTTTGCTTTTTAAATGATGGAACATATTTAAATGTTAGCTTTAATTTTTCCAGGCAACTCAGATCATATTTAAATGTTAGATCTAATTTTTTCAGGCAACTCCATTACGGTGCGAAAATAATGACTTGAGCGACATTCCAACAGATGAACAATTAAGAGTTGATGAGGTTGAAAATGAAGACTTCGAGATACTAGTAAGTTGACCGGTTGGGCAATTTCACTTATGAACTTATCATAGTAAAATTAAAAAATATTTATATTTTAGCAAGACTTCTCACATAAGTGGCAGCGTGGCTGAGTGGTTAGCATGTCTGACTAGTAATCTAATGCTTGCTAACCGCAAGGGTTCAAACCCTCTTGGGGACAAGCCATTGTTTCCTTGAGCAAGAAGCATTCATTGCTTAGTACTGGTTGGTGCCAGGAAGAGAATCAAGTCTTAATAAGCTTATATCTTCCAACACAATCTTTCAACACAGTCAAACTAAAATTAATGGTGGCGCGATAGCTCAGTTGGTTAAACCACTGACTATCACTGCTGAGGTCCCGGGTTCGATCCTGGGTTACACCCTTGGGATTTTTCAGAGACACTTTCAGTGTTTCCCACCTACATAGAGGTGTACTGGTAAGAAATCCAGGTAATCCTCGCATGTATCAGTGCTATACACTGGGCATGTAAAAGAACCAAGGGGTCTATTCAATAAGAGCTAGGGACTGGTTCCCGGATTCCCTTGTATCTTAAAGCTGTTTCTTAAATGTATACAATGTATACCTGCCTGTAACACTCGTAAGAGGGGTTGGCAGTATCCAGAGATAGATAGATAGATAATCTGTATAAACAAATATAGCTATTTACATTGAATTGCCTGTTCTTTTTATGTATTTTTTGTAAGATAATTATGTATATACCTTTAATTTACATTCTATTCTTTAAATTGTTTATGATAAAGTTTTCCCTTCATGTACCTTTAAAAGAACAAGGTCACTATAAAGTGTTGATGAAAAAGTATCCATTTCATGAACCTTTCAAAGAACTATGTCACCTGTTGACTAATATAAATTACACAACGTTGTAATAGAATATTTAACTCATTATATTAATAATATGTTTTCATTGACAGAGTCAATCAAGAGAAAGCGAAGAGGAAGAAAGCGTAGAGCAGGAGATGTGGGTTCCTCATGGCCATGATTATGTGAAGACACAGACAGATGAGTCATCTTTTGAGCTCCTTGAAAAAGAACCGAGTTTGAAGTATGTATTAGAAACCGCCAAAGTGAATGAAGATCTAGCAGATAAATTTACAGTAGTGAATGAAAATTGTCAGGTTCTCTCCCTGGATAATGCCAAGACAAATCCAAAGATATTTAAATACTATACAGGCTTTTCATCATATGAAGTTTTTGAAGCTTTATATAAATACTTAGAGCCTAAGGCTTCTTTTATGAAGTACCCATATGGAGAAAGAACGCTTTCACATTCTCATTTCCACACTAAATTCTCTAAAAAGCCTGGTGTAACTCGCAAATTCAGTTTAAGAGAGGAAATGTTTATGACTCTAGTCCGTTTACGAGTAGGTGTGCCAGTTGCAGACATGGCAACTAGATATGGTATTGCTGAGTCAACATACTCTAGCATTTTCACCGCGTGGATATGTTTACTGGCAATAGAACTGGAAAAAATCTGCAAAGTACAAAATGAATGTGACAACCCAACTGAAAAAGCCGAGTGTTTTTCTGAATTTCAGAATTTGAAAATAATTCTAGATTGTACTGAACTGTTTGCAGAAACGCCTTCTTCATTGGCAGCACATAAACAAGTTTTTTCTAATTACAAACATCATAGTACTATGAAATTTCTAGTGGGCATGAACACAAGTGGAGCAATAACATACATATCGGAAATGTATGGAGGACATTCTTCTGACAAATATATTACTAGTGAAAGTGTTGATTTACTGGGTGCCCTTAACCCTGGAGAAAAGGTGATGGTTGACAGAGGATTTACAGTGTCAGAAAACTTACCGCCTGGTGTGAATTTGATTATGCCTTCATTTAAGCACAAAAATAAATCGCAAATTTCACAAAGAAAGGAAGTCAAACGAAACAAAAAAATCTTCTGAAGCTAGAGTAAACATAAATAGAACGTTGCATTAGACGCAAAAAAAAACAATTTGAAATATTTTCAAAGAGCATGAAAATGACCCCAGAAAGACTTTTTAAACGAAATATTGTTTAAAACATGTGGGCTATCTGTCAACTTTCAAGGATTCCCTTTTCCAAAAAAGTTACCTGATGCTAAATCCCTTGAAATGAAAGAAGTTTCAATGCATAAAACATTTAAAATGGTTCCAAAAAACTCAGCAACACCCCAGCCTTTTACAAACAAGAAACTTTTAGTGCATGTGTATTAAGAAAACCTCATTAAGATTCATATTAAGTTGTTTTTCATTTTGATGGAAGTAATTTTCGCTAGGATCTATATTTTACAAAATGGTATGTGTTTGGCTCAAGAGTTGATTTGAATGTTGATATACAACATGTACTTAGATTAACATATTTTACTGGGATATCATCTACTTAACTGCTACAGTTATTTAGTTGTGTAAAGTCACCTCTTTCACAATAGGTGCTGACCTGATATCATATAAGTTCTACTTCAAGTTAATTTATTTTTGTAGATAATTTTTCTTTTTGTCATGTCTTTTATAATAAAATAGGTGTGGATTTGGTATGGTGCTGACTAGATATTATATAAGTTTCATCTGCAAGTTTATTTTTTTTAAAAGTTTATTTTGTCAGGTGGTTCACAAGATGTGTTGACTTGAAATCAGTCCTATTTAATTTTTTTGTGTGTGTGTGCGTTTTTTTTGTTTTTTTTTGAAAATGCTAGTCTTTTTGCCATGTCTTTCACAATTATGAGGTGCTAACCCGATATCATATAAGCACTAAGTACTATAAGTTATTTATCTTTGTAAATATTAGTACCTTTGTTTTTATAGTTAATAGTCTATTTGTCACTTTGTTCACAATATGTGCTGTTTTTATAGTTATTAGTCTATTTGTCACTTTGTTCTACTGTAAGTTATTTATTTTTTGTAAATACTAGTCTATTTGTTATAAATGTCTTTCACAATTATTGGGTGTTGAACTGATATCATATAAGTTAAACTGCAAGTGATTTATTTTTATAGTAAGTGGTTACTTTGTTCATAATATGTGGTGACCTGATATGTAAGTTGTACTGAAAGTTATTTCTTTTTAAAGATAATAGTCTATTTGTCATGATGTTCACACTAAGTGCTGACCTGATATCATGGCTGTGATATCATATGAGCCGCGTCATGACAAAACCAACATAGTGCGTTTGCGACCAGCATGGATCCTGATCAGACTGCGCGGATGCTGTTCGCTATCAGTTTCCTTACTTGCTATAGGGATTGTAAGCCAACAGTATGGATCCTGATCATACTGCATGGATGCGCAGGCTGGTCTGGATCGATGCTGGTCGCAAACCCATTGTTGGTTCTGTCATGACGCGGCTCATAAGTTCTACTTCAAGCTATTTATTTTTATAGTTACTAGTCAATTTGTGAGGTTGTTCACAAGATGTGCTGACCTGATATCATAAAAGTTTTTCTGCAAGTTGTTTTTGTAAATATTGTTCCATTTGTCATGTCTTTCACAATAGGTGCTTTCTAGTTGCTGTAGTGTGTAATTAACTATTAGGACATGAACACTTGAGTAACGTGTACTTTTTAAGTTTTTTTTTGTATTTGTTAATCTGTGTACTAGTTCTGTTGCCATTTCTTTCTCAGGAAAATACATACTGATCTTGTTGTTTTACTTATATTAATTGGATATTTTACACTCAAGTATCATATCAAGTTGTGACATTTTCCATGTATTTTTTACATTACACTGAAAAATTACTGTCAAGAAATAATTGCTTAAAGATGATAAATAACCTCGCATGCATAGTTAGATGATTGATCTCATTTTGTGATATATTCTTAATGCTCAATTTAAATCCTATTTATTGTGATACTGAGATGAAATAAAAAGTATTTTCAACAGATTCCTGTGTTTTTTTCAATAATTAAACCCAGTCCACATTTAAGACTCTTTTGGGTTTATACTTAAATGAACACCTAGTATACATCTCAAAGCTGTTAAAGGATGACCTACTTAAAGGGACTCCACTGAGGTTTTTGACATGACAAAACTGGAAATAATTTTTCGATATAAATGCTCAGTTTGATGTAGGTCTAGATCAGTAACTTGTGTGCAAATTTTAGATCATTCGCAGTTGTGGTTTATCTAGGACAATACTTCAAATTGTGAAAAATGACCCAAATGGAAAAGCGTTGAAACGCTTTTGAGTGAAAATCGTATCATAAATAGCACAAAAATACGCTTTTCAGTTCATATTTAGTATATTTCTGAATTATTTTTGCATATCTTCCTGTATTACGTGCCCCAGCTGATCTGTGTAACAAAATAAATTTTATGATTTTAGATTTTTGAACCTCAGTGGAGTTCCTTTAAGGTAATGCAAACCATTAGGATTAAACTCTTGGAAATATAATTTGTTTGATTCCAGTGAGTCGATTCCATCGAGTCGTGTAATCAGCCATATTTCTGTACTCATTATTGGTAATATCAATCATCACTTATTCATCACCAATCACAAAAATTACTACAAGTGCTTATGTTCTTAAGAAATAAAGAGAAAAACATTCATTTAACTAATATGTTTAATAACTTTATTTTAAAACACAAAAAGGGAAATTTAAAAAAAAATAATTTGTTTTAAATTTTTTTATTTTATCAAATTTTTAAAATTTCCCCCCCTTTTTAGGCAATACTTTTATCTAATTTTAAAAAGAATTTTTGATAAAAGCCCCCCTGAGTTTTCTTCCCAATTTAAAAGTTAAAGCGGATCAATACCACACAGTTTACACTTTTTGAAAATCACTTTACACTTAGTTTATCTTATTATTGAAATCAAAGTTATAAGAATGATCAAAAACATAATAAAAAAATGAACAAACTACAAACACATTAGAGGTACAATTAGGCATATTATGGCTATCTCCTTTTTTGGGTGACAACTTTACTACAAGCATTCAGAAACATCTGAAATTTCTTGAGATAACAAAAATACTTGTTCAGCTCCTTATATATCAAAACAAAATCTCTTTTTTTTTAGTTTCACTAATTTCTCAGCATGGAAGATTTAGTTTTGCTTCTATTTCAACCATACGTTGCCATTTATATTAAAATTCTATTTCACAGTTTTTCATACAATCTGAACAAAACCATTCTGGTTCAACATCAAAATTGTCTGTATCTGGTGTATATTGGACACAAATCCAGTGAAACCATTTTCCACATCCACAAAAACACTCGCAGTAAATACTTGCTTCAGTGTCGTCATTGACCTCCTCAATTATTTTGTCATTACATTTGCCACAGAAGTAGTTTCCACTCAGCTTACTAATTTCTTTCTGTACTTCGTTTCTGGCACTTTTCTGATTTAAACTATATTGACCAAACAGAGCACTACCAGACTCATATTGGTTGGAAGTCATTACTGGTAGCACAAACTGTTCAAAAAAATACTGTAAGTTGGATTCAAGCTGTTTCCAGTACAATTCATTGTATTCTATTGTTATCACATGGATTTTCTTTCCATCAAAAATAACTAAATCACTTAATGGTATGCCTGATACTCCCATCTGACCTTGTATTTGGCTGTAATATGCGTGGGTTTCTTTGAGGGTCAAACTGTGTCCTTTCTTAGAGATGAAGTCAAGATTTTCAACGGAAGTGCCTTTACTTACACAATTGTAGGGACTTTTAATTTCTACTAGCCTTTGCCCATGACAGTCACATCTGAAAATTCTATCTGGAGAGGCACCAATATAGCATTGCTTTTGAGAAATAATTAACCCACTTTCACTTACTACACAATTTTTGTGTCCTAGTTTCTTTTCCTCATTATAAAGTTCTGCACCTTTTGCTTCACTATTTATACCATATTTAGTTGCAGCATTGCCAGAAAATTTGTTTTTATTAATTATACTGTCAACTAAATTTTGGGTTGAATTTTCAGCCTTGCCAGATTTTTTTATTTTCCTTACATTTGCCTGGATCCGGTGAAAAATAGATGCTGTCAGCATACCCTGCCTGTGCATATGCCAGTCGACCGAAGAAGACTGGCCACGTGTAATGTTCTCTATTTCTTGCACAACTTCCTTCTCAACTACAAAGGAGTGGTTTATAGAACTTTTTTTGTTAGCAACATACAACTGAACACGTTCCTTGAGAATTAATGGCTTTGTGGAAGTAGTAAGTTCTTGCTCTTTACAAGGAATAAGTATTTCACTTTCTCCATCTATACAGTCAGACAGTTCAATCACAGGTGGCCTTTCATTAACTAAAACTTCATTGCTTGGATTCAGTGTCTGTGAAGCAATTGTCATCCAAGGCACATTTGGGCTTGCAAGACATAATGAGGCATGAAGTGTTTGTAAATCAGAGAGATTAACAGCTTGAAGATGTTCAGGTACTGGATTGTACTTGTTTGCACGATACTGTTTTTGTTGTTTCTTCAATTTCAGGTCAACATGTTTCAAAACTTTTGGTTCCACTTTGGAACCTCGTGGAACAGTCCAACGACACAGCTTTTCTGTGCAACTTTGGCCATCTGGAAGATAACGGTAACCGCGCAGTATGAACTCGTAAAGACCAAACATCAGACCAGCCACATGAGTGCAGGCTTCACCTAGACCTGCTACACACATACATGTTGCACCGACTGGTTCTCCTGTTTCTTTCAGAATTACTATCGTATTGTACTGTGTACCACTTGTGTCAAAGGACGGATTAGAGATACACTTGACTGCACAAAAACCACTTATTTCTTGCAAATCATGATACTGGTATCCACTTATATGGTTGGACTCCCACAAATCAAATGATCTTAATGCTTTGTAGCACTTCAGTGTTTTCTCTGTGAAAACTTCATAATCTCCATCGCCTTTAACTGTTATGTCATGAGATGCCATTAAGTAATTCAACACATTTTCAATTTTCATATCTGGGACCTTTCGAATGTCTGTTGTCCAACCATCCTCAAGTTTTCGTACATATTCAATCGTTGCATGAAAAGGGTCAATATTTTCCTGATTAGTGGACAGGTTTAAATGCTTGGCAATCACTGTTATCTTGTTGTTCCGCTTTCCCTTTAAAGATAGTCCAAGGCTTCTACTTAGTCCTGTCAACTGTGTGTTGGATAAATTGCTCAGATCCCTGAATGTGGATGGTCTTGGAACAGAATCCTGTAGAAAAAAGAATATTTAATTTATGTTGTGCAGTTTTCATTTTAATAGGTTAAAGTGACATTATGCTCATATTTTCATAGTCAAGTTGAGCTGAATTGACTTTATATTTCAAAACATTGACACACAAAATGATGTTTGACCAACAGTTGATATTAAAAATGTTGGGGATAAAATTATAAATCTGCCTTACATTTAAAAAGACTGCCCCACTCTTTTAATAAACTAAGTGTGATAGGTAAATTCTAATGGATATTTACAGAAATTTTGTTTCGATCTGTGCATTATTTATTGCTTATGCGAACTCAATTATTAAATTAAAAAGAATTATGGCAAAATGAAAGCTTATTTTGATTTTCACCGGTTCACTCACTATATACCCTTGGATGGGCATGTCACTTTAACATCATTCAATAACATTTTAAAAGAAATTCAATTAGGCCCGTCATTGGATATTTTGATATTAATATATATTATCTCTATTTGACATTCAGTTCTATAATGCTTCAATATTGAATACACTTTTCTACTTGTCTCATTCTTGTGTAAATATCATATGAATCAGCAGATACAAACAAATGATCATAAGACAAAAGACTCAGTTGTATAGGTTTTAAGTAGCAAGTGCAAAACTCAGCCTGAGCAGAACCACCAACCTTCTGTAAGGTTACTGGATAGATTCTTAAGACACCAGAGGGAAATGAACCTGCAGAGGTGAATGGCATATTTGATATCAGAGACCAGAAGCACTAAACAATTGCCGGCTTAAGTTTGTGTAGTTATTTAAGAGTAATTGGTAATTACATGTTTGAACAGTGCATTTAATACTTACATTGAAACACTCCTTTCCTATGTGTTCAGGCCTTTTCCTCTTCATTGTGGCTTTTCACTAAAGGTTTCAGTAGTTGGCAAAATGGCAAGTGTAACAGTTATAACACTTTGGTTACCAGACGCACATAATCTGAAAAAATGAAATATATAAAACAGTTTAACCTTTGGCACTATTCCATAGGTTTTAAAAATGTCAGGAAAAAGGCAAATTAAACTTTCACTATTTAATTAACATTTTTCATTAGAAATCATAAATGACAAAAGTGACCTAATGATTAACCGTCCGATAAAGTGTCTGTCCCTCAATCCAACCTGGATGAATGTGTTTCAAGAGCCCAGCTTCACATATCTAAGAGAAATATCATAGCGTCAATTTTCACCGACATTTTAGTAAGAGGTCTTTTGACTCACACCGTCATTTTAAAAATTGTATAAGTAGCCAGTACCAAGCCGGACCTAAGTAAAACCACCAATATTCTGTAAGTTAGCTACAATGAATGAATCCAATGTCCTTGATGGGAATCGAACCCATAGATGTGAGGTGTATAACACAAGTATTCAACCACTGAGACCCACACTGGCCAGAGTATGTGCAGGTATATAATATAGCTTAAAAGTTTAATTGGCTTTAACAGCGTCTGCTTTACTTACATTGAAAAACTTCTTTCCTGTGTATTCTGGCGTTTTCCTTTTCATTGTGGCTAACACTTAAATCAGGCACCAGAATTTTTGGAAATATGGTAACACCTTGTTGATAATTATTCTACCAGGCTGATCAAATCTGAAAACAATGAAATACATGATGTATATAAAACAAATCAACTGTTTACATTGATTAGTTCAATATGAAACTGTAGAAAATCAGCTCTTTCTTTTTCAAGTAAACAGGTAAATGGTGAAGGTGTAACGGCTGGGAAAAGGTATCTATTTATCACACTGTTTATTTGGAAAAGAGTCAACTCGGCCCTATACCAACTCGGCACGGGTCAACTCGATTTTAGTCAGAGGTCTTTTGACTCACACCGTCATTTTAAAAATTGTATAAGTAGCCAGTACCAAGCCGGACCTAAGTAAAACCACCAATATTCTGTAAGTTAGCTACAATGAATGAATCCAATGTCCTTGATGGGAATCGAACCCATAGATGTGAGGTGTATAACACAAGTATTCAACCACTGAGACCCACACTGGCCAGAGTATGTGCAGGTATATAATATAGCTTAAAAGTTTAATTGGCTTTAACAGCGTCTGCTTTACTTACATTGAAAAACTTCTTTCCTGTGTATTCTGGCGTTTTCCTTTTCATTGTGGCTAACACTTAAATCAGGCACCAGAATTTTTGGAAATATGGTAACACCTTGTTGATAATTATTCTACCAGGCTGATCAAATCTGAAAACAATGAAATACATGATGTATATAAAACCAGGGCTCTCAGTAGGGTCAGAATTTCACGAGTCAAAGACTCTTTGGCCAAAATTTTCATGAGTCAAATCATTTTTTTCTAGTGTCATTTGACTACATGAATCATTTTTATGTTACAACAAGGGTGCCATAGTCACAAAATACGCCCGTTTACGAAAAAGCTTTAGATGGAGATGGGGGCATTATGGATAAGTGACCATTTGTGCTACAATCCATCAATAAATGATGACTAAATGGTCCCTATAACCATCTTCAAATTTTTATCTGAACTTTGACCTCTATGTGTAACCTTGACTTTGGTCGCAGGGATCTGAATTTTGCATGCGACACTCAGCCTCACAATGATGAACATCTGTGCCAAGTTATATTGAAAACCCCCTATGAATGTAGAAGTTTTGCTCCGGACAAGCGTTTTTCAATGAGCTCTAAGTGTGACCTTGACCTTTGACCTGGAGACCTGGATCATGCATGGAGCAATACATATCATGGTGGTGAACATTTCCATAAAGTATTATAAAAATTCTTCCATACATGTAGGAGATATGCTCCAGACAAAATCTGGATATTTCACCATCTTTAGTGACCTTGACCTTGCATATATTGACCTAAAGTACATGTGCCACAGCCGTAGTCATTATAATGACCATTTGTGTTACAATCCCTCAATAAATGATGATTAAATCGTCCCTATACACATCTTCATATTTTTATCTTTTTTTAAACGGGCGTATAAAAAGTACATGTAATTGTAATTTAATAACTAAAAATTCTGATTTAAGATTTTATTCTAGGGAAATACATTTCATTACAATTCTTAATCTTTGAATGAGCTGAACTGATATTTACTTGAAAATTAAAATATTATTTAAATTTCTATGAGAAAGTATTTACATTTATAAGTAATTACTGTATGATCTTTATGAACAAATACCAAGTCTACAGAACACCATAGTTATCACAGTTAAGAAATCTTGACCAATGAATGAAACATGTGCAAATAAAGTTACATTCTTTAGAACATACTCAAGTCCAAGAAAGAGGATTATTTCATGCCCTTTGATTAAATTCTATTTTTAGAATTGAAAGTGAAAGTAGATCAAGGGAAGTAATTCAGTACGTCATATCTAAAAATAGTAATTACTTTGTTGTCGCCCTTTTGATTAAATTCTATTTACAAAATCTGGATATTTCATCATCTTTAGTGACCTTGACCTTGTATATATTGGACCTAAATTATATGTATCACAGCCATAGTCTTGATAATGACCATTTGTGTTACAATCCCTCAATAAATGATGACTAAATGGTCCATATACACATCTTCATATTTTTATCTGAACTTTGACCTCTATGTGTGACCTTGACCTTGGCCGCAAGGACCTGAATCTTGCACGCGACACTCCGCCTCACAATGGGTGAAACATTTGTGCCAAGTAATATTGAAATCCCTCTATACATGTGGAAGTTTGCTCCGGACAAGCATTTTTCAATGAGCTCTAAGTGTGACCTTGACCTTTGACCTAGAGACCTGTTCATGTGCGCGACACTGCTCCTCATAGTGGTGAACATTTATATGAAGTTTCATTAAAATCCCTCCATACATGTAGGAGATATGCTCCGGACAAAATTGGACGCCGCCCGCCCGCCAGGGGCGTTCCCATAATACGTCCCGTTTTTCAAACGGGCGTATAAAAATGACTGTATTGGAGGTCATTTTTGGAGATTCCAAAGTCTAAATTGACTGAAAAAATCCATAATTATAAATGTCTATACCTCCCCCCCTCCTCCACCTAAAAAAAAACAAATCAAACCAAAAAATGAATTGCTGTGAAAGAATAAAATAAGCAGCAGCTTTTCTGATTAAATGTATAAAATATAAAAAGAATTATCTTTACTGGTAGATCTATGCTATATCATATTTATTTTAAATACCAAAATGTACCTTGGAATATTTAATGGAAAAAGAAATAACAAATGCACCGTTACTCCAAGTAATATAAACCTTTAAAAGCAATCAATAATTGACACCTCAAGTATGTAATTCTTATCAGTTGTGTAGAGCTATTTTTAGCACGGTCAAATTGCAGCCACTGAATTGTCGCGCTTCAGTGCACAGGGTATAAACAATTGCCGTGTGTAAAGCATTTTATACACGGCTTAAACTGCCTGTTGGCATTTTTAATGAGTGAGGTTTGACAGATGTAGGATTTGATAGGTAATTAGGGGTGGATTAACGGTAATTACTATTGCATAGCTGAAAATCCCATGTGGCAAATTGACTCTTGAGCAGATTTTATCACGTGTCAAATTTGTGCATTTCCCGATTTTCACGAGTCAAAACCCGGATCCCCGTGTCAATCGAGAGCCCTGTAAAACAAATCAACTGTTTACATTGATTAGTTCAATATGAAACTGTAGAAAATCAGCTCTTTCTTTTTCAAGTAAACAGGTAAATGGTGAAGGTGTAACGGCTGGGAAAAGGTATCTATTTATCACACTGTTTATTTGGAAAAGAGTAAACTCGGCCCTATACCAACTCGGCCCTATACCAACTCGGCACGGGTCAACTCGGCCCACCCTACAGTAATATATCCAACGTATTTACTTTGCATGTTGTTAAGGTAAATGAATAAGAAGAAATATCTTATTATCATATTTAATAATTGTTCTTCTGCCGAAATAAAGTACATTTAGAAAGAAAGTGTTATTTATTTGTAAATAATAAAGATCTAATAAAAATATGTTTCCTTAGATGCATTTTGTTTGTAAAGTAATATCAAATAAGAAATGAAACAAAAACGTGTTTACTTAATATCATAAGCTTCTAATTAATTGCAAATTTAAATGAATGGGTCAATCATAATTATCACCTGATTAATCGGTATCCACACAGTGATTGATAATAATAGCTTGTAACAATATATATTTCAACACATTGTTTGACACTGAAAGTATTAAAATTTACGGTTAAACCTAACAGATAGAAGATATTTGTTTGTTTTGCATGTAAGATTGAAATATAATTTCACTGAGTAAACACCAGATGCAATATTTTCACAAGTGGCGTAGCTACGAGTGAAAATATAATAGCTGGTGTTCACGAATGAAATATATTTCAATCTTATATGTAAAACAAATAAATTTTCTTTTTATTTCATGCTATTTTAGGGATTTTAAGTATATTTTTACTGATTTTGCCGCGTAACGTCACACATTCTCCTATGTGACGTCATCACATCATGATGTCACATCATCAATTCTGAAATATAGTTCTGTTAATTTTTCTCTATTTTTTGTTACATTTTCAGTGATTTTTTTACAAACTCATCAGTGTGGGTCCTTAGTACTCGCTGGGCTATAAATCTATGAGTCCCATAATTTAGCCGACAAATCCAAGTTACAAATCTTAATACTGCTTAAGTGATATGACAGGTTATTAACAATGGAATGGAGAAAAAAATGAATTTGATTTCTATATTAATTACAAATGCTTCTGATACTGAAATTATTCAAAAAACTGTCAAATAAATTTAATATGTTTATTTCCATTAAATTTAGTTTGGATATTAATCAAAACTTCATTTTTTCCTTAATATTTTTAAGCTTACTATTAGTATAGCACATTATTATATCTTAGCTGGACCTAGAATATGATGATGACATAAGTTGAACACTATTTGGCATTAATTTTAATTCCAAATTTCTGTCAGACAGGACTCCCTACTTAGAAAAAGTATGCATCCAAAAGATGCACATTATTTGAAACTTTGCATCCATAGCAAATTCATTGAGTTCTGGACTCAGGATGCAAAGGTAAAAAAATCACTGCATTTTTACATGATGTATGATGAAATCGACTTTCTTTTCCTAAAGAAGCAAAATTTACGCATGCCGGCAACTATAACTGCTTGTTATTTCATTTAGTTATGATTTTCTTTTCATGCGCATTTAGATATAGTCCGGTTACATTGAAAATTATATTTTATAAATTTCACTAGTGGTTTATCAGAATATAATCATCTGATATATTACAATAAAACACTGGAAAGCATAAAATAAAAATACAGTGAGATACCCAAATCTTGCAATTTCTACTGATAAGAAAACCCTGTCAGCTGCTAAAAGGAAACTGTCAATCCGTGTACATATAATTACAATAAATAGTGATAACACAAACCTAATATTAATAATTGAAAGTGGGCCGAGTTGACCATTGCTGAGTTGGAATAGGGCCGAGCTGACTCGGGGCCAAGTACGTTTTAGGGCCGAGCTGACCCGGAGTCATTTATTTAAGGTGAGCTATTCAAGGAAAAGGCATTCAATTTAATGGGAAAAAAAATTGAATATATTTTATTTTTTATTAATTATGAGACATTGTGTAATTATATACTTTTTTTTCGAGTGACTTTCTTAGACCTGTTCACTCTTCTGTTCAGTTAAAAAATCTTAACCCACTTTTTAAGTTAGTTTCGATGTCATTGATCAGCTGATCAAAATAAAAATATTTGATGACCATGCTTCCATAAAGTTCATTATTCAAATTAAACATAACAGCATGTTTAAAGCATAATTACTAATTTAATAAACAACAAATTCATCAACTCTATGCTATTGTTTACTTTCCATCTTACCCCACCCACTGTTTAAAAAGTACCGCTAATTCAGAGACTAACTACATAAATAATATACATTATTAACCCTATAACGAATTATTGGCATTTAACTTACATATTTCCAGTTAAGCTGACAATGTTTTACAGTCTCAATTCGTATTTTTATCGTTTATATCGCAGAATCATAAAGCATTCCTTCTATAGGCATATAGCGTCAATGATGGCGTCGATTCCCCAGAGCTCGAAATCTCGGGAAGCGCGAGAGCGAGAGTTCAGGTTTTCGAATTCGTGAATACTTGCCCTCACATGTTCATATTTCACATATTTCCGCGACACATAAACTCTAAATCATTAGAATCTACAAGAAAAACATATTCTAAACAATTACTGTCAAAAAAAGCCGTTAATGGATTTTTACTGATAAATTCCAAACAAAAAAAGTTTCTTACCTTTTTGTAGCGCTTGGAATTTCTCTAATTCTGTTGTCAACTTTTTTTGCAACTCGGAATCCATTTTGGTACCCATTTTGTTATGTCTGTTTCTATTGGTTGCTTTTCACATTTGAACCAATCAATGACCACGATACTTAAAACGAATTGTCACACCGGTGTCGAAGTATATTTCTGCTGATGCAATTCCTACCAAGAGTGAACCGAAATGATGCAAAGAGTTTACACACATTTGCTACGGGTGCGATGTTTCTCTGTGTTGACAAGTCGTCAAATTTGATTGTTTATGCTTTTTAAGCTGTTGACAAATATTTTAACGTTTTACTTTTATTGTTTAGAGTGTATCCTATGCCAAGGTTTATTGTGATTGAAAATACTGGCAAAATTTAACCTTTACTTAATTTTTGAAGTTGTAAACTTCATTTGAAAAAATTGATATTTCATGTCATTGTTTCTGCAAATTTGATTTTCTAAAGCTTTGAAAGTGACATATTTTTTATTTTACTGATCTTGTACCAGTTGACGTCTTTTTTTTCTGGTGTCACAGACTTAAATTAATTATGTAATTAAATTCCATTGTTTCTATCATAGTTTTTGGTTGGCATGTAATGTAATGGGACTGACAAGATAAGCATCTAAATGACAGTCAATCTTTCCCTTAGTTTAGTGTTTAAATATACTGTTTTCATTAAAAATTACGGCAATCTCCTGGATTTTATAGATCCCAAATTATTTTCAGGAGTATAACTTGTATATGATAAACTAACAAAATGGAATAAACCTTTATATACTGCTGGTTAAGACTCTGGGGTATACTACAGACAAAGGAGAGTGTACCTTTTCACAGTGATCAACATGACAAATTGGCGGCGTGTGTGCTTGATTGTAGAAAAGATTAAGAGATGCGAATCCCCAAACTCCGCGCAACGGTTACGCTACGGCCAGTAACCACTGCATTCACACAAATCACATGATGATGGTCTTATCACATGATTGTGTAAAAATGGCATATAGGCCAATGAAATCGTTGAAAAATGTTGTGTGATAAACAGCGACATTAAAACTTGAACTCTGGTCTCAAATATGTCGATATGATTGAAAAAAAAATTGATTTTTGTAAAGCGTAGAGTCGAAATTAATAATTACTTGAATGATTTCTCTTTCGAGAGGGGTCATTGTTTTGGAAATAAACGGTGCGGTATTAAAATTTTTAAAAATTATTTTCATAATATTTATGTTTCCAAAATTATTTTTTATTTTAGTTCACATCTAACACCTATCGGTCTTGAAACATTAGCAAAACCGTGTTTACTTTTTAAAATAAATATAAAAATTGAAAAAATTCATATCGTCAAAAATCTTGACGAAAATGTTGTGATGGCAGAGATCTAATCCTGTAAGGGGAGATCACTGCGTAGGAGATTGGCGAATCCCCTGTTGCTTGTACCATTACATGTATATACGGCACCCTATAGCCTGGGATTCAGGCGTTAACATTTTTTGCTTATTCATAACATACCCGCTATTTCATACTTGTTCCTGATTTTGATAATATCATGTTGATTTGCTGAAAAGAAGCACATAAAAAAATTGACAGACTGGAACCCAAGCTAAGGCCCCTAAGCTTGGGTAAATGTCATTTAAAAAAAAAAAAAAATTCATAAAGAAGGGATTCATTTTTTATTAGTATATCATATGCGACGAAGCATGCAAAAATAGCATGATGTATGGCTCAATTTGTATGTCTTAGATGCATATTATTTTTTTTTAAGGTAAGAGGCATTGCAGCTCGTATATTAATATAATTGTAAATATTTTAAGTGTATAAAATTCTGCATTTCAGCATTCAAGAACACAAAGATGTCCATGTCGATCAGTCACTTCTCAGGTACCTAGGACTTCGCCATTAAAGAAGCCTTTCTGGAAAGATGCCAACAATTATTTATTGGTAATAAAGCAGTACTCAGAGCACCTAATAGTTTTTGGAATTGATGGCATTTTAGGGATAGCATCTGAATAAAAACTGCATGCATTCACAGGGCTGGCAAAATCTAATTTGGATTTATCTAAGAATTTTTAAACTTGGTCGTATGATATATATAGGGTAAATTTTTTAAAATTCCACTTGTACGTACAGGCTGTGGGACAATCTGGGCAATATGGAAAATAGATTTTGCCGCCCCTGATTGAGATGAGCAAACAAATTTTTGTTAAGGTAGTCAAATACTACAATGTTCTGGAAATAACTGATTTACTACAATATTAGTTGATGTTAGAATTTTTTGGGCGGAAAAACATTACAGTAAGACTACCTCAAAACACAAACTTTTGCTATTACATTGTACCATTTATTGCTGTTTAATGTAGCATTTATATTAAAGCTGCACGCCTTTTCATGAAAATCAACTTGAAAAAAAAGTAATGAGATTTTAAGAAAAGTAAAAGATTCAAGATAAAAATAATAATTTCTATTGCATGTGCAATAGATGACCAAATTTGCAATATTTTTCACCATATTTCTACTTTGATTGATTGATTTATTTGTGTGTATATATATATGTCATATTACAAAACAAATTAAGACAATTTATCACAGTTATATCTATCACATTGTTTTTAACACATTAATTAATTGAAAAAAAAAAAACTTTACATTCATAATTAAATCAAAGATCTTGTTGACTTCAAGACAATATATACAACACAGGATAACCCATGAAAGTTCAATATAAAATAGAGAACTTATTTCCAATGGGGTCCTTTGATGGTAAAGAATATATTTTCTTGAGAACTGGCATTCAGGTCCATACTTAGAGATGATATACTGGACTGATGTTAAATTTCTAAGATCAAATAATATTAATTTCTATTGCACATTATGTTAATTACATATATCACATATTTGCAGGAATAATACTATGAATATGACTAGTTAACACACCAATGAAAGATATCTATTTATATATATCACAAAAACCAATCACAAGATACATATAAAACATACTATATTGATTAAAACAATTATCTCTAAAACTAATAAAAAATAAAATCAGCTTGTTCAAATTGTTTCATATTTTTGCTTAGTTCAGCTTTTACTTTCTTTTTAAAGTTAAAAAAGTTACTTTCCTTTTTAATATCAAGTGGGAGCATGTTCCAATCCCTAATACCCTGGTAAAAAAATGTACTTTTTGTAAAACTATTAACATGGGGTATATGAAAGTTCCCGACACTGTTTCTACTATTATAACAATGAACATCAGACTTTAAAGAAAAGTTATCATACATATAAGATGGACACTTTTTAGCTCGACTATTCGAAGAATATGAGAGCTATTGTAGTCGCCCCGGCGTCCGCGTCCGCGTCAGCGTCTGCGTTGGTTAAAGTTTTTTGTAAAGTCAAATATCTCAATCATTACTTGAGATATTCAATTGAAACTTACAATACTTATTTATAGTAACAAGGTACATCAGATTGACAAGTTGGATAACTCTGCCTACAATATTGACAGAATTATGCCCCTTTTTAACTTAGAAATTTTGGTTAAAGTTTTTTGTAAAGTCAAATATCTCAATAATTACTTGAGATATTCAATTGAAACTTACAATACTTTTTTATAGTAACAAGGTACATCAGATTGACAAGTTAGATAACTCTGTCTACAATATTGACAGAATTATGCCCCTTATTAACTTAGAAATTTTGGTTAAAGTTTTTTGTAAAGTCAAATATCTCAATTATTGCTTGAGATATTCAATTGAAACTTACAATACTTATTTATAGTAACAAGGTACATCAGATTGACAAGTTGGATAACTCTGCCTACAATATTGACAGAATTATGCCCCTTTGGAACTTAGAAATTTTGGTTAAAGTTTTTTTGTAAAGTCAAATATCTCAATTATTGCTTGAGATATTCAATTGAAATTTAAAATACTTTTTTATAGTAACAATGTACATCAGTTTGCAAAATTGCATAACTCTGCCTGCAAAATTTGAAGAATTATTTGCCCCTTTGAAACTTAGAAATTTTGGTTAAAGGTTAAAGGTCTTCATGCACTTAGGGTCATAATTGGAGGGTCATAATTGTATGTCACTGACCAAGTTCCATAACTCTATCTTGCATAAAGGCTGATTCATATCCCCTTTTCTACTTAGTCTCTTGGTTAATGTTTACATGCAAGTTTTACATATCTCAATAACTATTAAAGATATTTATTTAAAACTTCACATATGCATTTAGGGTCATAATTGTAGGTCACTGACAAAGATCCATAATTCTTTCTTGCATTTAGGCTGATTTTTCTCCCCTTTTTCAACTTAGAAATTCATGGTAAAGTTTTGCTTGTAAGCTGTTATCTCAATTACTACTGAAGGGTTTGTGCCTTTTTTTGGGACAATTTTATGCATCATAATAATAAAGCAGTGATTTACTTGATAAAACATCTTAATTAGAAGCCTTTGTACCTTTTCTGTCAAATTTATGTATTCATAGGTAATTAGTATTATTGTACTCAATAAAACAACCTTGTGACATTACCTTCGGAATAGTCAAGCCAATACTGTATAATTAGACTCTCTCTAAGGCCTTTAACATGAATTTATTAAAAAAAATTAGACCTTTTGTGATCTTAAAAAATTTAACATTATCAAGGCTCTTTTACTATCAAGCACTTAGAATAGTCGAGCGTGCTGTCCTACCGACAGCTCTTGTTATTAAATATTTTGTGTACATGATTAAGTCTTAACTGCATGACTCTATTTTCTATATAAAGCCACCCAATACTGCTAAAATCAATAACTTTCAATGATTTTCTAGAGGAATAACCATGAATATAACGAACAACTTTGTTTTGTGCTACTTGAAGTTTATGTTTAAGTTGTTTAGTAACTGTATTACTGTATTAGTAACGCAGTTACAGCTATTTTTGCATATTTTGACCTCTTTTTGTTGATTTATATAGGTTGTAATTGCTGTTTGCAATGTGGAAATTATATTATCTTTGTTCATTTCACAATATTTTACCTTTTTATGCATTTTCTCAATTTTCATGAATATATTATAGCATGTATCTGGAGGTGTGCTGCTTTAAAGTGAGGTTAATTATCCGTGGTCGAGGGGTTAGAGTCGATGACTTCTAATACAGTTACCTCTCTGGCATGAGTCCGATCCCCCGGAGATGCTTTGGTAGTTTAGCGCAGAGGAAGGTAGTCTAGTACTGGTGTAACTCTCCAGGAACGATGGTTAGGAAACTGCCCGCCTATATGACTGAAATACTGTTTGAAAAAGGCGTAAAATGAAACAAACAAACAAAAGATCCAAAGATGTATAACTCTTGTGTGACATTTATTTCAGATATGTCCAATAACATGTGTAGGTTTAGCAATCTGGCAAGTGAAAAGAAAAGAATGGAAAGAAAATTTGATAGACACTATCAAAGAACGATATGAAATGGATCCAATACAGTTACCCAAAGAGTATGAAATTATTATTTTTTTTACATTCTTGTTATTGAGAATGTGAATTTCTAAAATGGACTTGTCCAGTTTCTGTGTTGGAACTGTCCATTATCGATTATGGGGATATCAACATGAAAAATAAACATTAATAAGCCCTCAGTATAGAACATCTATACACCAGGATCAGGACCGAACCTGTAGTTACAGTCAATTGTAATATATATAAATATAATGATTATTTATCATATATTCATGGATAATTATGGTCAAAGCATTTTGATGTACCAGTGTGTGTTTATTTAAAGTCGTTCTCTGATTAAACCCCATATTTATATACAAGAATATGGATAACTTATCACATCATTTAAGAAAGCTGTGGTAAATATTTCTTGTAAGATATATATTCATGTTTAATTCATGTTTAAATATATTATAAAATGTATTTTTTTCAGTTTGTCAACAGTAAAAGATTTTGATTTGTACCCAGTGAAAGTTAGAGGACATTTTGATTATGCAAATGAAGTGTATATAGGTCCACGTTCAGATACCCCCGAAAGAAGACACCAAACACTAGGGGGTAAAGTCTCAGGGGTTTATGTGATCACACCTTTCAAACTTGCAGACAGGGAGTATGTAATGTTTAGGACAATAAAAGTTCTGTTTCAAGTTTCTCTACCAATCTTCAGTTTTATTTGCCAAACCAATAGTTCATAATCTATAAAAAATATTAAATGAAAAAGAAATACATGTATGTGAAAAGGAAATTCATTTCTACCTTTCCTATGTGTGTTTTTTTTAAATTTTTTCTTTTTTTCACCTGAAGTTCATAATCAAAGTATGTTGTTTTTTGGCCTTTAGGGTTGTCTAGGACCAAGTGGTTAAGGTCTTTGACCTCAAAGCATTTATTTTTCACAGCTATTATAAGGATTGAGATTGAATTCTTTCGTGTGGAAAAGCTATCCAGCTAGCTTATGGAATGTTGGTGGTTCTACTCAGGTGCCTATTTTGTGCCTGAAATAAAGCAAATGGGGCACCTGAGGTTTTCCTTCACCGGTAAAGCTGGAAAGTCGCCATATGACCTATACTGTGTTGTTGTAAGGTAAAACCCAACCGAGAAGAAAGAAAAATGCCTTTAGTTAAATCAAAAATTTATTTTAACTTAGATTAGCTAGATCTGTATAACTGTATTCAACATAAATAGCTAGATCTTTCAAATCTTTCTATTAGAAAAACCCTGATTAAAGGAACTTTATTTATGTACAAAATTTAGCCTTAAAAAACATATAATTTGATGACTTACATCATGTATTTCACAAGTCAGGATAAAAGTATATTTATAGTCCTGTCATATCAAATAACCTTAATGGATTTTTCTTGTATCTAAACTTGCAAATAAAAATGAACTGCTATGAATTTATTTCAGTGAAAGCATATTGGTTAACAGAGGCTGGATTGAAAATGATTATTTTGCCCTCGAGGAGAATAGGAAAAATGCACAGGTAAGTTGCCAGACTATTGTTGTAGAAATTCATATCATATATAAACAGACAGTGTCTATTCTATGATGCATGATTGCAGGATTCACAACACTTTTTTAAATATTGCACACATTTTTGAAATGTGCCTGAAAATTCATCATCTGAATTGATTGACTTTCTCAAAAAGTGTAGAATGTCCAGATCCTGTAAAGGCCTACTTGTTTACATGAACACTGGAAAACTGAAGGGTAATTGTTAACGTAATTAAATCAATATTACTTGGAAAAGTTTATGGGGACAGCTCTTGTTGCCGTTGATAAATATTTTGCTTCAAAGAATATCGTTGTTTAAAATTTTTTATGTATAAATTTGTTTATTATATACTTATAAATGAACTATTTTCACTGGTATCTTGCTGTACTACTTTCTGCTAAATTCAGCCAATAAACAAAATTTAAGGGCAGGTCTTTCAAATTATGATGTCAAAAAGACAAAAATGTATATAATAAACAGAAAATTCTTTTTTTTTCTACAAATGCAGGATTTATTTTCATCTTGAGGTATGAATATTATCATTTTTCACTCCTGTCTACCGCCACTCATGAAATATTTATTTTCATACCACTTGATGAAAATAAATACTGTATTTATAGAAAAAACTTTAATTTCCTCTACTTACAAAGTTCAGACAAATCATTTCATAAAAGAATACTGGCAATATATTTCTTTCGTAAACCCAGCGTTGATCAAACATCAATCTTGGATGAATGCACTGTCCAATAATACTGTTAAATCTAGCACCAAAATACATCTGAAAATGAGATTTGGGATCTGGTTCTTTGGGGAAAAAAACCTACCTTTCAATTGTTTTAGAAAAAAGACCAGTCCTGGCTTAATATAAACAACATTAAATTGTATTTGAATTTTACCCAATTACACTTTATATTGGCATTCCTTGTTATTAAAAGTACGCCATATTTTTATTTTTAAATGTGGGGGAATTTACCTCTGTGTTGGAATTTCTAGAATGGACATTGTATGTAACAATCAGTGTGTTATGTTTGTTTTTTACACACTAAGTAAAGTAAGGTAAAATGACATGTTTCAATTTGTCTTGGTGGAATACGACCTCAGTTGACCCCTATGCGTTATTTTATACACAGGAGGCAACCTGCAACCTGCATTTGACCTTCACTAAGCTGACCTTTAATAAGCAAGCTGGATACCTCCTACACATGTAGGAACTGAGGATGATTAGTGGGCCAGGTCAGCAACTATAACCGCTGACTGGTTGTTACGCTGATGTTAAACAAAATGGTTCAGAATGCATTGTAATGATATCAGTTTTACCTGCATGATTATTTTACCTTGACCTTTACATGTCAGTATTATTCCATTAATACTTAAATGGGCATGTCTTATTTATAGACAGGCGATTCCCGCCACTAGCCAGTTCTGAGATTAAACTCGATAAGCTCACATCTGTGTTCTTTCTTTAATCTATTCACATTTTCGAATTACTGAACTCTGTATCCATAATAAATATATGTACAAAAAAACAAGAAACATTACACATTTCTCCCAGTAAAAATGATTTTGACATATGTACACATGTGCTGATTGTTTGGTTCAACAAAAACTTCATACTAAGGTTAGTCGTATTCAGAGAGTAATAGAAAGTGTTTATGTTTCATTTCAGGTTCATGGTGAACAAGAAATTGTAGGAATCCTCAGAAAAGATCAAGATGTAAGTTGCTAGTATGTAGTACTATTAAAACACTGTTTCTATCACAAACCTGTGCAGATTTTGTGACTCTGAGAAAAAAATGATACTGCACGACCATGCATATATTTTGATGTGTCGTCGTTTGTGTTTTACAAACAAAGTTTGAAAGTTTGTTTAGAGTTATACTATAAACACGTCAATGAAAAATGATTATTTTGCAATTCCAATAGTCTTTATTTTGAGTATGTGATAAGTAGAATATTACATTTGTGTAGGTTCATTACTGAATTTATTGAACTTGTTGAATAAAATAATATTTTGCTCACCAGAGACTTGCATAATATAATTTATAACTTGTTCATTTAATGCGGTATTGAACCTACACCCATTAATATCCTCTATTTTTTTATGAATCAGATAACTGTTGGATTGTATTTGCTACAATATTAATATGAATGAAACTCAAGGTTACCTACTTATATATACAAAGAAAATCATTCTTAAATGTCATATTTGCCTTTATTAGCTAATATTGTCCATTGACAGATACTTTGTATAAAAAAGGTACAAAACAATCTGAACTTGGGTTGTTTATATTTGGCATGAATGTTTGTTATTTTTTTATGTTTATACAGTTAATTCACACTAAAGGTTATACAAAGTGCATGTGATGTGCACTACACTAGACTAGAAACAGACCTCATTTTTTAACTAAACTCCTATGCTCATACTCATATCTCAGGCATTTGATTGGTCAAAAACCAGCATAGAATTTATATTGACCAATGAAAATCCTGAGGTTGGAGACTGATCTCAGAAAAAGGTTTTATAATCTCCAGGCCAGTACTGAACAATGCGTGTAGTTTCTTGCTCAAGGAAACAAAAACTTGCACCTAACAGGGTTTGTACCCATATAGCTAGAGATCATTTTATTACTAGTCTGACGCATTAATCACTCGGCCATGCCACCACTTTAAACTATATTACTAGTATTTGGCATGCATGTATATTATGTCAAAACAAAAGATTGATTTTCTCTGCAATCAGTTATTATTTACATATAGTTACGCCCCTTTACGTGCAAAAGTAAATTCATTGATATTCTATTGCTATTTTTTCTTTCATATCTGACAGAATTTGTGCTATTTACAACAAACAATTTGATGTCTGACTCTCTTTAGAAGGCATATTTAATCCATTACACCTTCTTAAAAAAAATTGTCATCAAGCTTTAGTTACCCACCTCTGCCAAGCTATTGTTTAAAGACAATAGTTGTAAATCTACAATTGCATAGTTATGTTATAAACATTATTTTGTCGCTGCATTGTAAGAATTAGAAAAAAGATAATGCAGTTATATGTATATAAAGGTGTTATTAAACAGACATCTTCCTACTTTGTAATTACACAGACATCTTCCTACTTTGTTATTATACAGACATCATCCTACTTTGTTATTTTACAGACATCTTCCTAGTTTGTTATTCTGCTTTGTTATTACACAGACATCTTCCTACTCTGTTATTACACAGACATCTTCCAACTTTGTTATTATACAGACATTATCCTACTTTGTTATTATACAGACATCATCCTACTTTGTTATTATACAGACATCTTCCTAGTTTGTTATTATACAGACATCTTCCTAGTTTGTTATTCTGCTTTGTTATTATACAGACATCTTCCTACTCTTTTACTATAAAAACATCTTCCTACTTTGTAATTATACAGACATCATCCTACTTTGTTATTATACAGACATCTTCCTAGTTTGTTATTCTGCTTTGTTATTATACAGACATCTTCCTACTCTTTTACTATAAAAACATCTTCCTACTTTGTTACTATACAGACATCATCCTACTTCTGGAAGTTTCTATTGGATTTTGAAAAACCAGAGAAGAAAGCTGACTGTGATGTGTATTATGTGAGAAAAATTGAACAACTGGCACAGAGATGTGGAACTGCACCAGTTTACATTGATTCTAAAACAGGTATATATATTTATATAAAACTCATGTTTGTAATGTCGGTTTTCGTCGGATAACCGTGACATTTATATAGTTTTATATATCTAGTCTGCTGCCAATTTAAGAAGAATCTCAGTTTTTTTTCTTTTTCTCTTAAAAAAGAAGTTTGCTGTATTTATTAGTCCCCTACCGGTTTACCGAAGGGACTTTAGGTTTACCCTCCGTCCGTCTGTCTGTCCGTCCGTCTGTCTGTCCCGCGATAACTTGAAAAGTACTGAAAATATTTTTATGAAACTTGATATATGGAAAGATGGCAGTATGGAGATTATGCACGTCTTTTTCTTTTCTTCCTATGTTGAAAATTCTGTGTTTCTATGGCAACAAATAGGCTGAAAATATGGCAAATTTTACACATAAACTGGATCCAGTGATAACGCAAAAAGTACTGGAAATATTTTTATGAAACTTGAAATATGGGTAGATGGCAGTCTGGAGATTATGCGTGTCATATCTTTTCTTCCTATTTTGAAAAAATATTGGTTGCCTTGGCAACAAATAGGCTTAAAACATGGCAAATATAACAATATTTGTGATAAGTCAAAAAGAGTTGAAAATTTTTATGAAATTGCATCTTTAATTCAAGAGTTATCCTCTCTTTAAGAATTTTGCTTTTAAAAATGTTATATTTTGGTAACAGGGATGTTTCAAATATTAACTTTAGAGTGTCCTTCAGTCTGTCTGTCTGTCTGTCTGTTCATAAAAACTGTTTCCTGTGATCACTTTTAAAGAACTTTTCCAACAAATTTAATTAAAATAGAGAAAAAATTGAAACATTAGTGAATGGCCAATGGCCCTTCAGAATGTTGATGGGGTTCTAACCGGTAGCGGACTTATTGATTGCTTGCAATACTATGATAATTGCTTGTTAATTATGTTATAAATACTCCTTACAGATTTTATGACTGTATATAACCTGTTCTTTGCAATATAATCCTCACCTACCTGCTGGGGTTAGATATGCCCTATAGTTTATATCAAAAATCTTTTATTAGTTTACATAACTTATTACTTTGGCTCGGGATCAAATTATTATTGAAATTTACATTAATTTGAATTACTTTGTTATTTATCACTGGAGTATGATATAGAATGATGTTGCATTTTTTATGCCAGTTATGTATAAAACAAAGTATAAAAGTTAGATATAAGAGTACATTAATCTATTATTTGTATTTGGCTTGCATAAATTTTATTAAAACAGTTCACAATAGTGCTACCTAAAAATCCACTCAAATCAAATACTAGTTCAAGATTAAAGTACCTATAAACTCTATTTTACTTTAACATTGCCTGCATTATTTGCAGAAACATGTTCTGCTTTCAGGGTTGAAGGATTTAAGGGTTGGTAATCCACTGCTTATATTAAAGTGACTCCACTAAGGTTATTTTGACATGACAAGACTAGAAATAATTGTTTGAGATTAAATTTCCATTGGATGTATGTCTAGACCAATTATGTGTGTGCAAAATTTCAGACCACTAGCACACCATGTTTTTTAGGATAATTAATCTCATTGTGAAAAAAACCTTGCAATGTTTTTCACTCAACTCAGGTTAAGAACATCATAAAAGTAAAAGATTTTTCAATATATTTCTGAGTATATCTCTTTACTTTTTTGCATATCTTTCTGTTTTAAGTGCCAAAGCTGGTCTGTGTAAGAAATTCAAATTTTATGATTTTAGGCTTTTGGACCTCTGTAGGAGTTCCTATAAATCATATATTTTTACTGTTATTTAGGGAGGAAGTCATTTCATGAGCCTAAGCCTATACAAGTTGGTGTTGAATTAAGGAATGAGCATTTATCTTACATATTTACTTGGTAAGTTTTCATTTGTAACCCCAAACACCCTCCCTCCTCCAAGGGGTATGTGAGGGAAATGAGCATTGTTTTTTACCCATTTACTTGTCCCCACACAGTAGGGAGAAGTTTGATAAAGATAATGAAACTTTATAGGGACATTGCCCATGGTCAGCAGTTGTACAGATTGAAGGGAAATTGCCCATGGTCAGTAGTATTCCCAAATTAATTTAGGGACATTGCCCATGGTCAGTAGTTGACCAGATTGATGGGACATTTCCCATGGACAGTAGTTTCCCTCATTGATGCCCATTTTCAGTTCAACTGGTCACGGTCACTTGCACCTATTATTAAAAAAAGTTGCCATTAAAGCAAGGTGGCATTGACCAATGAACTTCAAACCTTGTAGATAGATGCACCTTAAATGAGAGTTCTATCTGACATACCTATTTAAGGGCCAAAAAGGCAGTTGGACCTGTAAACTGCTCTATACAAAACCAAAATGTGTTGCAAAATGGCTGCAATAGGTCAGCTAGACACAACAAGAGCACCGCTTGGTGGAGCATAATATGCCTGAAAGGGTTTTTTTAGTAAGGATGAAGCATTTGTAAGACATGGGAATAAGCTGTTCATCCTATAAAATTTTACAGCTGTAGGTTGATTAATACTTAAGTTATTGAGCGGAAACTGTTTTCAGTTTTAAGGTAATAGTGACCTTGACCTTTGACCTTGTGACCCCAAAATCAATAGGGGTCTTCTACCCAATATGGACAATCATCCTATGAAGTTTGAATATTGTGGGCCAAATGGAACTTAAGTTATGCTCCAGAAACTGTTTTCAGTTTTAAGGTAATAGTGACCTTGACCTTTGACCTTGTGACCCCAAAATCAATAGGGGTCTTCTATCCAATATGGACAATCATCCTATGAAGTTTGAATATTGTGGGCCAAATGGAACTTAAGTTATGCTCGAGAAACTGTGTTCAGTTTTAAGGTAATAGTGACCTTGACCTTTGACCTAGTGACCGCAAAATCAATAGGGGTCTTCTATCCAATATGGACAATCATCCTATGAAGTTTAAATATTGTGGGCCAAATGGAACTTAAGTTATGCTCCAGAAACTGTTTTCAGTTTTAAGATAATAGTGACCTTTGACCTTGTGAACTTCATATTAACCTTATATTTGAAGTGAAAACGTGCCCAATATTGAAAAGTTAATTAATAATTGCTCGTTATGTTAAGTACAGCTTTTTTAAATTTTGTAAAAATGTAATATATATGAAATATTAATATTAAAAGTGGTCATAGCCAATGATCATTGTATTCATGTATTCCTTCAACCATATGAGTATCGCGCATGAATACATCTGCACACATTTTTTATAACTCCAAAAAGCGCTGTTACCAAATTAATGTTCGAACTAGTATGGAGCCAAGCCAGTCTGCACATCTTCGCAGTAGGACCAAGGGCCCAGGGCTCTTTACTGTTGATTGACTGCTAACTATAATTTTCATCATCCCCAAATTGAAAAGTAGACCATTTAAGATAATTTAGCATGCTATGAGTTAATGTTACATTTTATTTCTGTTTTTTTGCAGGGCCACTTTAGCTGTTATCACCTTTTACCTATGGTACAAGAAAGTAAATCCTTCAGGAAAAACAACCTCAGTAAATGCCTTTATCAAAAGTCAAGAAAGCAGAAGAGTTGGAGGAAATTGATGGATATATAGAAATATAGAAGAAAAAAATACCTAATATTCCACCAGGAAAAAAATCAAGAAGTCTGCTGACTAGGTTGAGGTTTAACCTTTAACCTCCTGAATTTTGTATAATGGATTTGTCCAGCTTTAAAATAAGAACAGTCCATTATAAGTTTAAAGTATTTCATTATCAAAAAACAATCTTGAGTTTCAAGCAGAATACAGCTTGGTCAAACATCAAGGGTAACCAGGCTTACCTGGCTCTATACTGGCAAATCACTTCCAGGTCAAGAGTGTTAAAGGTTAAATATTTATACTGGAATCCTGCTCAGTTGATGAAAGTTTTGCAAATATTTCCATGTTGTTTTTTTTAAATATATTACGCTATTATATATATTATACTGTGCTCCTCTTAGTTCACAGTACTTTGAAACATGAAATAAAATAACAAATGTAACTTTTGGTAAAAAATTGTCAGACGCTGTAACATATAGGTATTTTCTGCTGCATGGCACAAGGAAACAACAATATATTTAGTCAAAATCAGTTTTAATGGGCCAGACGTAGATCATATGTCGGCCATTTTTAAAACAGAATGTCATCATATAAATCGCGGTAATGGTGTTACACTTCAGTTTTTTCATGTTTCAGTTAAAATTTCTAAATGTTATTTTGTTTACTTTTCAATATTAAACTATCTTTATAATGTAACTCAAAATTTATTTTTTCAACAAAGAAGAGCATTAAGATACTGATGATTGTTTCAGACGTATGCACAAATTTAATGGACTATTGTTGCTTTGGGCAGAAATTTGTAAACTGTTGTTATATTTTATGCAAAAATCTAGATATGTAAACAAGTTTGCACAAAAACTTTGTTGTTTAGGTGTATGAATAAAATATGTCAATTCTGACTAATTTTAACACGGGTGACATGAAAATATGCCATTACCGTGAAATAAATGATGACACGGAATTGGTGATGTTTAGTATATATGTTATTGATATATGTGAAGAAACTGATAATTTCAAAACAGTCTTTTTTTGAAATGTAAATAAAACATGTTTTGAATACACACAGAGAAAAATATGTTAAGTTTTATACTGTAAACAAAACATGTAATCACGGTATGATTACACATTGTCATTAAAAAAACTTTCAGTTTTTATAAGAATAGATCAAATTGATTTGAAATGCAGATTCCAAAACATAGTTATACATATTTACAAACGTCTCCGTGGTCGAGGGGTTAGAGTCGATGACTTTTAATCCAGTTACCTCTCTGGCGTGGGTTCGATCCCCGGGAGATGCCTTGGTAGTTTAGCGCGGAGGAATGTAGTCTAGTACTGGTGTAACTCTCCAGGAACGATGGTTAGGAAACTACCCGCCTATATGACTGAAATACTGTTGGGAAAAGGCGTAAACATGATATTCAAATTAGACATATTCGGGAAAAATGTACCAGATTTCAGAAAATTTCTGCAATAAAAGTTTTTATGCCACTGCAGCATCTGCGATGCGGTGGCATATAGCGATTCACCTGTGTGTATGTGTGTGTGTGTGTGTGTGTGTGTTTGTTTGTTTGTTTGTGTGTGTGTGTGTTATATAGATTATATAGTGAACTTAAAAAATCTTCTTGTGAAAAACCACTAGTCCAATTTCAACCAAACTTGGCAGGATTGATCCTTGGGTGAAGGGGTTCCAAAGTTGTTCAAAGAATTTCATTCCATGCAGAAATCTGGTTGCCACGGCAACCAAAAGGAATTATAAGAATAAATTTAAAAAATCTTCTTGTAAAGACCCAAAATGCCTAGAGCTTTGATATTTTGCATAAGGCATTGTCTGGTAGACCTCTACCAAGATTGTTCAAATTATAGCCCTGGGGTCAAAATCGGCCCCGCCCGAGGGTCATTTATTTTCACTATATGTATATATAGTAAAAACTTAAAATACCTTCTTGTAAAGACCTAAAAGGTCTAGAGCTTAGATATTTTGCATAAGGCATTGTCTGGTAGACCTCTACCAAGATTGTTCAAATTATAGCCCTGGGGTCAAAATCGGCCCGGCCCCGGGGGTCATTGATTTTCAGTATATGTACATCTAGTAAAAACTTAAAATACCTTCTTGTAAAGACCCAAAAGGCCTAGGGCTTAGATATTTTGCATAAGGCATTGTCTGGTAGACACTTACCAAGATTGTTCAAATGATAGCCCTTGGGTCAAAATCGGCCCTGCCCCGGGGGTCATTGATTTTCAGTATATGTACATCTAGTAAAAACAAAATACCTTCTTGTAAAGACCCAAAAGGCCTAGGGCTTAGATATTTTGCATAAGGCATTGTCTGGTAGACCCTTACCAAGATTGTTCAAATTATAGCCCTTGGGTCAAAATCGGCCCTGCCCCGGGGGTCATTGATTTTCAGTATATGTACATATAGTAAAAACTTAAAATACCTTCTTGTAAAGACGTAAAAGGCCTAGAGCTTAGATATTTTGAATAAGGCATTGTCTGGTAGACCTCTACCAAGATTGTTCAAATTATAGCCCTGGGGTCAAAATCGGCCCCGCCCGGGGGATCATTGGCTTACTTATGTTGTATATAGTAAAAACTTATAGTAAAAACTTAAAAAAAAAATCTTCTATAAGTCTGCAATTGACAAATGCTAGAGGTTAGATATTTTGCATGAAACATTGTGAAGTGAACTTCTAGCAAGATTGTTCAAATTATAGCCCTAGGGTCAAAATTGCCCCTGCCCCGGGGGTCATTGATTTTCAATATATATATTTAGTAAAAGTAAAGGTACAAGGCTTAGAGCTTTAATATTTGTTAAATGATATCATCTTTAGGAACTCTACCAAAGTTGTTCAAATTTTACCTCTAGTGTCAAAATTAGCCCCGCCCCGGGGCCATAGGTTTTCCTTATATGTATATAGTAAAAACTTTAAAAAAATCATCTTCTTTAAATTTACAAAGACTAGAGTTAAGATATTTTGCATGAAACATTATGTAGTGAACCTCTAGCAAGATTGTACAAATTATAGCCCTGGGGTCAAAATTGGCCCCACCCCAGGGGTCATTGATTTTCACTATGTACATATAGTAAAAAATTAAAAAATCCTCTTGTCTGAAGGTACAAGGCTTAGAGCTTTGATATTTGGTATATAATTTCATCTATGGGTCGTCTACTAAAGTTGTTTTAATTATGCCCCTAGTGTTAAAATTGCCCTGCCCCAGAGGCGATACTTTTCCTTATATGTATAATGTAAAAACTTGAAAAATCTTCTTCTCTGAATTGACAAAGGCTAGAGGTTAAATATATGGCATGAGACTTTGCGAAGTGAACCTTTAGTAAGATTGTTCAAATTATAGCCCTGGGGTCAAAATTGGTTCCGCCCAGGGGGTCATTGATTTTCATTATGTACATATAGTAAAAAAAAAAAATATTTTTGTCTGAAGGTACAAGGCATAGAGCTTCGATGTTTGCTATATAATATCATCTATAGGCCCTCTACCAAAGTTGTTAAAATTTTTACCCGGGTGTCAAAATTGGCCCTGCCCGGGGGCAGTGATTCTCATTATGTACACATACAAAATAAAACAAATGTTTTCTGAATGGGAGAAAACTACAGCTTAGATATTTGACTTGAAATGTTGTTTGGTGGACCTGTATCAAGATTGTTTTGAATTAAACCCTTGAGTCCAAAATTTTGCCTTGCCCAAGGGGACAGTGACCTACTTTCTTGTCCTTTGATGTACAGCAATGAAATTTTGACTATGTGCACAGTTTTAGTTGTAAAATTGAACTTTGATATCAGGTGACCTAGATTTTGATGATGTGACCTACTTTCTTGTCCTTTGATGTACTGCTTTGAAATTTGAACCATGTGCACAGATTAAGATATAAAGTGAACTTTGATTTCAGCTGACCTAGATTTTGACAAAGTGTCTGACTGTGTTGTCCTTTTGATGTAGTCATGAAATTTAGGCTGTGTGAAATATGACCTTCACCACCAAATTCACTAGACTCGAGTGCATTGATATATTCCTACTCTGATCTTTTATTGAGTTAACAACAGATTTAACCACTAATCTGATAATAAGAATAAGATAGGTCAGGGATCTATGCATTATGACAATCTTCAAAATTGTATAGAAACAAAAAAAAATCTGTTCCTACACTACTATTTAGTGTTGTATTAATGCGGTGGCATAGCATTTTTCTCAAATGCAATCTTGTTTTTATTTTTACCCAAATTTGAGCATAGTATATCTTTAACATTCATATATTGAGAGTCTTCATATGTTTTTCTAGAAACAAAATGTTACATTAAAATTACAAATTCATCTTGTCTTACAGTATTTGATTATTATTATTATATCCAAAAGAATGCATTATGTTATTGCCCTGGTTGTGGTCTGTCTGTAAGCAATTTCGTATTTGCTCTGTATCATTTAAAGGAACTCCACTGAGGTCCAGTAGCTTGAAAACATAAATTTTGAATTTTTTGCTAGCACACTTAAACCTACAAAAGACCGGAAGGGCCATTTCACCTACAAGAATTCTCGATTTCATCAGAGACATAGATAACAGAGATATGCAGCTCCTATATACTCCATTAAAATATCACTCATGCCTATCAAAAAGTGAAAAATTAGGCATTTTGTAGCAAATGAAACTTGTATGTACATTTGATCCTTTAATATTATATACCATTTGAAAGGTAAATCTTTTATCTGTTGCTGCATGTAATATTGGTAACTTTCCATGCCTTTCACTTAGAAAAACATAGCAGAACATACCCACTGAGCCAGTTTTTTCGTCATATGAATAGTTTTGTAACAAAAATTATTAAGTAGTTCTCTTTAAAAATTGATGTATCATTTATTTAAATGGGAACTGTAAATATTTTTACCTGCAGCCATAGACAAATGCATAAGCTTTCAGAAAATGTATTATTTTACTGATTTTGATATCTGGTTAATAAGTTTTACTTGCTACAAGTTTAAAGGTTAGCAGGCACGCATGATATTTTAACTGGCTAGGAAGTTATCTATGTCTCTGATTTCATCTTCATGAGTTCGCATTTTTAACTTCGTTAATTCCCGTTTTCAACATATTCACGATTTCAGCTTTATGAATTCCCGATTTCAACTTTATGAATTCCCGATTTCAACTTCACGAATTCATGATTTCATCTTCATGAATTCACGATTTCAACTTCACGAATTCAACATTGTGAATTCACTTTTTCAACTTCATGAATTCACGATTTCAACTTCATGAATTCACAATTTTAACTTTGTTAATTCCCGTTTTCAACACACGGAATTCACGATTTCAGCTTCATGAATTCCCGATTTCAACTTCATGAATTCATGATTTCAACTTCATGAATTCACGAGTTCAACTTCATGAATTCACGATTTCAAATTCACGATTTCTTCTTAATGAAGTTGAAATCGTCATTTCCTGAAGTTGAAGTCGTGAATTTATGAAGTTGAAATTTCACAGTAAGAATAATAATGCGGGAAAAAGTTTGACGGAGAAACTGAATGGTCAGAAAGTTTTCAAACAAGTTATTGGTCTAGATCTTAATCAAATGCAACATTTATATAGAACAATTATTTCCAGTCCAAGCATGTCAAAAAGCCTCAGTGGAGTCCCTTTAACCTGATAAATTGAAATAATAAACTATATGGCAGAAATATTTGCCATAAAAAGGCAATGTGTTGAATATTGAACATAATATTCCATGAATCATCTTATGTTTGCTGGAAAAATCCATGTTTTGATCTCCAAACATTGTATATATTATTAGTTTTAAAGATTGTTGACAGGTTATATGGCCCTATATACATGATATAAACGGCTGTTTGTAAATATAACCCGAGCCGCTAGGCGAGGGTTATATTGCAAACAGCCGTTTATATAGGGCCATATAACATGTCAACAATCTTTATAACGAATTTATAATACAGCAAACATCATTTTTTAGAGAAAAAAGTAAGATTTCTTCATGAATCGACAACAGCCGTGTATATAAAACTATATAAACGTCACGATTATCCAATGAAAAGCGACGTTACAAACGTGCAGTATTATAATACAATTTATACTTGTTATAAGCATTGTACTATGCTTTACACAAATAAACTTTTCGTATTTGTATAGCTCAGGGTGAATTTTTAAGTCCTGTGTTGTTTAGAGCAGGTCAAATTATAACTTGATCAAGTATGGTGTTAAGTTGACACCTGTGAGAATGCACCATCCAAATTTGAAATTGTACATGAGAAAATTGTACGACGTAAAAGTGTACAGAGTAAAATTGTACACAGTTAAAGTGTACATGTTAAAATTGTACACAGTAAAAGTGAACATGATAAAATTGTACACAGTAAAAGTGTACACGGTAAAAGTGTACACTATAAAAGTGTACAGAGTAATATTGTACACGGTAAAAGTGTACACGGTTAAAGTGTACAAGTAAAATTGTACAGACACAGTAAAATTGTACAGGGTAAAAGTGTATATGGTAAAATTATAATGGTTTTATGGCATGTTAGATGCATATCACCTAATAAAAGAAACGCTAAATAAGAATAGGAATAAATGTAGCAAATTGTAAAAAAGATAGTATTTTTACTTCCATACAAAATACTTAATCACTACAACTGTATTTATTCCAAGAAAGCAACACGCGCTTTATGTGATTCAGGTCATTGGCCAATGAATATTTTGTTTTGGGAACAATAATAGGACACAACTAACAAAAAACTGAGGAATACAGATAGAAGCATTTCTGGGGCAAAATGGGCCTTTAAGGGCCATATAAGCCTTTAAAATGCTTCTATTTTCTTTTCTGTTTCATAAATGTGACTCATATAGCCGAGCGATCATGTGCTTCCTTTGCATTTAAGCAATAAGTTGAGTGGTTGTACTTATGTGACGATGGAAGTCAAAATACCATGTTGTTAACATACTGCTGGCGATATCATGAACTATTTCACAAATTGCTTCTGGTGATCACGAACTTACAATTTGTTCTAAATCCGTAATAACAACATTTTTACATGTATTAAACGCCTTTTTGACAGAAAGGAAAAAAATATTTCTTAGGCTTAATGTGCCATAAACAGATAAAGTGCTGTTCAGGTTACTATTTCAACCATATGAGATATGTGTCTTTCAGTAGTGCCTCATCCAGCCTTATAGTAGTGATTTTTAGCTCACCAGAACCGAAGGTTCAGGATCAAAGGGGGATGCTCCGTCGTCCGTCAGTCCGTCATCATGCGTCAACAATCGTTTTCTTCTCTGAATTTGCTGTGCAGATTTACTTTAAATTTGGTCTGTAGCATCCTTGTGACAGGCTCATGTCATTTCAATTGGCCCCTTTTATGGGTTAACAGAGCTAAAAATAGAAAAACCTTTAAACATCTTCTACTACAGAACTAATTGATGGATGATCAGCAAACTTTGTCTGTAGCATTCTTAGGTAGTCTTTTATTAAGTTTGCTCATATCAATTTGATTGGCCCCTTTTAGGGGTCTCTAGGGCTAAAAATAGAAAAACCTTTAGACATCTTCTTCTACAGAACTAATGGATGGATGATCACCAAACTTTGTCTGTAGCATTCTTGGGTAGTCTTTAACAAGTTTGCTCATATTAATTTGATTTGCCCCTTTTAGGGACTGCTAAAGCTAAAAATAGAAATACCTTTAAACTTCTATTTCTACAGAACTAATTGATGGATGATCACCAAACTTTGTCTGTAGCATTCTTAGGTAGTCTTTTATCAGCTTTGCTCATATTTTTTGAGAGCTAAAAATAGAAAAAACCTTTAGACAACTTCTCCTAGAGAACTAATTGATGGATGATCAGCAAACTTTGTCTGTAGCATTCTTGGCTACTCTTTTATCAAGTTTGCTTATATTAATTTGATTGGCCCTTTTTAGAGGCCACTAAAGCTAAAAATAGAAATACCTTTAAACGTCTATTTCTACAGAACTAATTGATGGATGATCACCAAACGTTGTCTGTAGGATTCTTGGGTAGTCTTTTATTAAGTTTGCTCATATTAATTTGATTGGCCCTTTTTAGGGGCCACTAAAGCTATAAATAGGAATACCTTTAAACGTCTATTTCTACAGAACTAATTGATGGATGATCACCAAACGTTGTCTGTAGGATTCTTGGGTAGTCTTTTATTAAGTTTGCTCATGTTAATTTGATTGGCACCTTTTAGGGACCACTAAAGCTAAAAAGAGAAAAACCTTTGAACATCATTTCCTTCTGAAATTAATTGAAAGATGATCACCAAACTTTGTCTGTAGCATTCTTAGGTAGTCTTTTATAAAGTTCACTCGTATGAATTTGATTGGCACCTTTAGGGGCCGCTAAAGCTAAAAATAGAAATACCTTTAAACGTCTCCTTCTACAGAACTAATGGATGGATGATCACCAAATTTTGTTTGTAGCATTCTTAGGTAGTCTTTTATCAAGTTTGCTCATATTAATTTGATTGGCCCCTTTTAGGGGCCGCTAAAGCTAAAAATAGAAAAATCTTTGAACATCATCTCCTACTGAAATAATTGATGGATGATCACCAAACTTTGTCTGTAGAATTCTTACTAATCTTAGGTAATATTTTATCAAGTTTGCTCATATTAATTTGATTGGCCCCGTTTAAGCTAAAGCTTAAATGCCCCAGGTCATGGCATTTCTTCAAATAGTTGTTTAAAGATATTCTTTGCTCAAATTTACTATTAGAAAATATTGACAATGGATAATTTCTAACACCGAAAAGCAGTTGTTTCTGGTGAGCGACTCAGGGCCATTATGGCCCTCTTGTTTGTATTCTGGTGATAAGATATTTCAATTTCGGCAATAAAATTGTGTTCTGTTTCCTTGGAGAGCTCTACTGTGTAATACTATGCAGTAATTGTTTTGGATTTATGCAGTGTTAAACATGCGGAGTAATATTTTTTTGACATAAAGTATGATAATCCAGTCACGCATTGTAATAAATGCGGCAATATTATGCAAACAAATAACTTATATGACACAGTGCAGTGTAATTATTGTTTGACACGTATACCATTTACATTATTTTACTTATTTTAGAATGATCAATGATATTCCCAGATTTCAGTTTGTTTTTTTAAAACGACCAATCAAAATTCTACTTTAATTCAGTTCTTCCCTGTAAATTTTACAGGGAAGTCGATCTGATTTTAGACGGACTTCGACCGGAAAAAGTTAGTTCCCGTTGATGCCCTTTAGGATGTCAAGACCATTCATATTCCTTAAAAAGTATAACAGACTCTAATTATAATACTTTTAAAGGAAATATGTGCATTTTACAGTTTAAACAGCGATGTCATACGCTAAACGAGGGAATACTATGCTATCATAGAGGAAAGAAATTATTTGAATATTAAAAGATACTGGTCAATGAAATAGCAAAAAGTTCTCATTTTTATGAGTGGTTTAATTTAAAATTCAACAAGGCTTGTCATCATACAGTGTGGTATTATCCACCCTCCGTGGAATGTTAAACATTACATGATTAAAACTTCTGATCGCCCTAATTACTGATAAAACTTCCAGTACATCAAAGTAAATCACGGTATTCCATTGAATATAGAACCCCATTAGCATACCGTATAGCCATATTTGATTATCAACCACTTAAATTGCTCTAGGTGAGCAAAGTCTCATGGGCGGACTGGTAGACACTTTAATGTACTATCGTTGTCGGATAATTTAAGTCTAAAGTTCTTGAATTAATTGTTATTGCATAAAGTAAGTGTTTATGTTAAAGAGAAGAACGCAAATCAAAGGTGTACAATTAGTCATTGCAATTTTGACGAGTTATATCCGATGATTTAGGCCTTGGTTTGAAGTTGCGCGGTAATTTTTTGGAAACATTTGCAAAATGCATTAACTTCCAAAAAAACAAAACAAAGAGAGGTTTGTTGATATCAATTTATACGTAACTTAATGTTTATTATTTATACTTCTTGGTGGTTAACTCTCTTCGTTCTCCACCCTACAATAATGTACTCCGTTTACAATAACAGTGCATGGATATTTAGGGATAGAAGTGGCAATATCATAACCTGGTTGTATGAAAAGGAGAATGTATTTTTACACATAACAATTCAATGTAATTTGGTCAAATGAGCGAAAGAAATAGTAGCCTATGAGATATGAAAGACCATGTACAATGGCATCATGAGCGTCAAAACGTCTTGGATGAGACAACGAACATAGCGAGATTTGCGGTTGTGCAGGTCCCTAGCGCCGTCTTTGATACAGTTCAATCTACAAAACTTATAACATCTGAATCAATGATCTAAAATGGCCAGAATGTATCACAAACATTGAGATGTAGTAAAAGCGGGTTTTTATACCATTTTTTGTCAGGGAATATGCCTAAAACTATTTCTATTGTTGCACATAAATTTGTATCACACATTGAAGTTACTGAACAGTTATAACAAAAACTTTAATATATACATATGCATGTGTATGACTGAGATTCAAAAGTACATACACGTTTCTTTCCATGATTTTAAAATCTGGAGTCACGCTCAGTTCATGTTTAGTGTTTTTTTTAAAAAACACGACTCCAAACTACCGTTCCTTCTTTATTTTTAACATATTTCATAAAATTTGGCAAAGTGCAGGATACCTGACGTTTTAGAGGACCACTTTGTTGGAACGAAACCACTGTATCACTTACAGCAATCGCATAAAATTTAATGTGTATGGGTTATTGTAATTATTCAACTTGTATCATGTTCGCAGTAAGAAGAGATCTTCCTACACAGTGAGGACGGTAGTTGAGCAAAATAGGAAAGATCACAACTATTTGCACAGGCGTGATTGGTTACTTTGCAAAATTATTACCGTTTGTACGTTGCTATGCAAAACACATATTTCTACGTCACACACGGTGATGTGACAAAGAGTGAACGTACTTTCGACTTGCATTTTCCTTCTTCTTGCGTAAATATAAGAGATATGAGTGTAAACATGTTATCTTTAGTTTCAAGTGCCGTATTATATTAAAATGAATACTTCAGCTTTCAATTTCCATTCAAACCAAACTCTTTGTATGCCTACCCCACCACCTACGCGGTGAACCAATCATATTCACTCCCACTATGACGTCAATGTACGTTTTAACCAATAGGACAATCGAATCAAGTCACGTGATAAAATACTTTTGGTACCTATGAAGAGTTCTCCAACTCGTTGCAAGGTTTGTTAAAAATTTGTTTGATCTGAATAATGAGATTTATTGATTTTAATCAAGTCATTGAAGATAAGAGTTTTGTATAAATAAGGGTGACTTTTAATTGCAGACGACAAAATAGGAAGTGCATCCCGTCGTAAAATTTCGCATTTCGATGATAGTGTAAAATGTTTCCGCATCTTAGATATTCTCAAAAGTTAAGAATCTGAAAGAGAAATTTATTTATTTGTTGCATTTGTAAATATAATAAAGTTAACGTAAAATAGTGTTTTTCTTAAAAAGAAAAGGACATTTTTGTGCAATATTTTTACTGTTAAATGTTTAAAGATTTTATTAAGTAAAGAGCAGGACTCTATGAAAAAGTGAATTTATAGTAAATTTTAAAAATGATGCTTGCCAAACTTTTTGCGTTTCTTTGCCTTGCCATTATTGTGGTATTTTCAACTGAAGACGTTCCGCAGGTTGGTACTTATTTTGTTACGTCTTTTAGAATTATATACAAAGAAGAATATAAAAATTGCAGTTCACGAATTGCCTTTTAATGTCCAAGTTTTTAATAATATCTCGATGGTTTCTTAAATGTAATGTAAATTATTTGGGCCTTCCGTTATTGCTTGAAGATCAATTTTGATACATTATTTTATAATTATAATCAAAATATACTCATATCTGGCAAAAAGTATCTCAAAATAATAACAACTTAACTTTAACTTTTTACGCAACAATATATTCACCTTAAGAAAGTTTTCGAATTAAGTAATAGTTTCATTTTTACAAGAACAAGACAAAAAGTACATGAATTGTGTTTATTCCATATCTTCCAAAATAATCATTTGGTCTGCATAAAGCCATGTTCCTTTTTGTTAGCATGCATTGAAAACAAGGAATTTAAGACGAAAATTGTTTTTAAAGATTGTAAAAGACTAAAACAAAAGCATGTACATTAATATGCTTATACCAGTTATTGTTTCTGTTCTTTTTTGTTGTTTTGTATTTCTTGTCAGTTGATTTATTCAACACATTCTAAATGTATGCTTAAAACATGCTGAATTTCTTTCTTTCTTACATAATATTATAGACTTCAATAGTTGGTTATAAATATAATAAAGCTTTTTGTTAAATTAGTAGTAAATGTTTAAGTTTATATAATAGTTGATATGTTTAATATGTAATAATTATGAAGATGTAAATGAGCGTGCTATCGTATTGTAAAAGAAAGGCAATGGTGCAATATTTCCAAATGAAAGGCATTTTAATACGTGATTAATATGTCTAAGTGATTCATTTCCTACCACGGTCAACCAGTGGTGTAATTTTGATATCATACAACATTATTTTACACCCTTAATTTTAATAATCTTTATGAAAATTCTTGCATCGTCTTATTTCTTTACACGATCTTTTTGCAGTTGTATCAGAACAATGCTTATCATCTATTTCTTATCCAGATTTTTGTTGTTGTTGTTGTTTTTGTTGAAATGTTTCAAACATACAGTTACTCTAAGTAAGTGTTTTAAAATATGTTAAAATGGTATAAAGCTATATATTTTCTGTCCGTGAATTGTAAAATCGTTGTTTATTTTGTTCATTAACATGAATACAGAATACCTAGGTTAAAAGGAATTTGTCATCATTATTGAAAATGAGTAGAACATGTGTGAAAACTAGAAATAGCCGCGCAATAATTTGCTCAGGAAGATGTTATTCTGTTAACGTACAATATTCATGTGTTTTAAATTGCATAAACATTCTTTGTTAAAAATCTTTTAGGAAAGGACCATATAGTTATGCAAACTAAATAATTTTATCGGTTTTTTAGATGTATGTAAGATATTTCAGATATAGCGTTATGCATTTTAAGTACGCAATACCATATAGTGCACATGCTCGAAGTAAATGGTGGTTAACATTTTCATTAAAAAAATGGAATAAAATTAAGAAATATTGGTGACTTTTGACTAATGGATAATATCATATTTATATATATAATAATTGCTCTCACATTTTAGGGTTAATTCAGCTATCAGCAATTATTATATATGTTACATAACTGTGATTCTTCTTTCCTTTATAAGTTTTAACGATCCTTTAAATAATATCAAATTCAGGATAGTCAATAGTTAATATTCAAAAAAATATAATGACCGCTGAATGGACGTTAAGTTATCTTTCATCGCACCGCTAAATTGAGTGGTATATGATATTTCTAAATCTATATTATACAAGCTGACCACTGAACGTTTTCAGTAAATTGTTTAAAATGGATTTGTCTACAATGGGTACATTTTAAAGTGTATTGCTTCTAACGTGATTTAGTATGAACATAATATTTGATGAATAATATTTTGTTCTAGAACACTACATATATCTATTTATGTATATCTGCTTATTTATGCATCAGTTGCCAGCAACGTTCATTTACGATTACCGGTATTTCGCGATTTGCTTTCATATATGACACTAATAATATCAACATACCATGCATATTAGTAATTAGTCTCCATTATAGACCAATTCACTTTAGCAATATATGAGCCGCGTCATGACAAAACCCACATAGTGCGTTGTGCGCAGTCTGATCAGAATCCATGCTGTTCGCTTACAAAATCTATAACAAGTAGAGAAACTGATAGCGAACAGCATGGATCCTGATCAGACTGCGCGGATGCGCAGGCTGGTCTGGATCCATGCTGGTCGCAAACGCACTATGTTGGTTTTGTTATGACGCGGCTCATATATTTCTTTTCACCAAAAGTGTATATAGCAGATGCGATGTGATATAAGAAATAGTATACACTACTGCGGACCTTACAGCATACAGTATATCTCACAAATTTATTCTTTCTTTATCTTTATATGTGTCACCACGCTTTTCCAGAGGCCCGACAAAAATAAGTAAAATGATCGCGTGAGACCAAGGACCGCTTAAATTATGTAGTGGATAACCGCGTAAAATATTAACTCATTATGCAAGTTGAGCGTAAAAAGTGTTGTTGTTTTTTTTTGTTTTGTTTTTTTGCACTTTACTTGAAATTTTCATTAAAAGAACTCCACTGAGGTTCAAATGTTTTTAAAAAAACCCACAAGATTTGTATTTTTTATCTAAATAACCTTAAAAAGAAAGATATTCAAAAGATATTTAAGAAATAAAAAAATCATAATATTGTGCTATTTTAAGCTCGATTTGAGTGAAAACTTTTTCAGCACTTTTCAATTTAGGTCATTTTTGACAATTAGAATAATTATTCTGGAAAACGAAGTGAGCGAATGATCTAAAATTTCGCACACAAGTTTTAGTGGTTATAGTCCATACATCAAATGGAACATTAATCTCGGAAAATCATTTCCAGTTTCGTCATGTCAAAAAAAAAATTGAGTGGAGTCCCTTTTAACAATATATTTTTTCCTCCTTGAAATTTTACCATTATGTTCTAGTAAAGTGCGGTATGATATAAAAAACGACCCTAATAGCTTTAAAGCGACTTCCCGACACCACCCAAAATATTGAATGGACCTCAGACCTCGGTTTCGGTCCGTTAAATGTTTGCGACTTTATCGGTCAATATAATGCTATGAGGCACTCAGTACTGTATACATATATTTTTTAAACATCTTTATAATAAGTTTAAAAATATATAAAGGAAATCGTTTCACGGATGTCTTTGTCTGAAAAAATCCTTAAAACATGCCGTGCATATTTGTTCAATATTTTTACCATACTAAGAACAACTTTTGGTCCTTTCGTTAAAATGAAATAAATTGCCAGTGAATTAAACTTTGTATCACATAAACGGGTCTATCCCATAGTGATAAAAGGATAGTTCGTATAAATCAAAACTATTTATCAACCATAATAATACTTGAAATTGTTTATTCTGATATCTTAATTGAATTTCCTAGTTTTGGAAACATTCGGCAATATGACACGCTTTTCACGCGACAGGGGATCAAGAAGTTATTTTGAATTAATGGAAAAAGGAATGTTTATCAAAATTGAAGGACACATGAAAGTGTTTTCACACAACTGTTGACCACTTGGGCATATCACTTAATTGGTTATTCTACTAACTTTTTCATCTGTTGATTCAAAGATCTACTTTTTATTTTACTCTTTTTTTTTGCACTCATTATACCGTTATAGTATAAAGTATGTAAACAGATAATATTCCTGTTTAAAAATAATTTAGCCATAAAACTTTAAGTATAGCAGCCATAAAAGTCGCCAAACATGGCAGGATTTAAAATAGTGGAAGTTCGGTTTAAATTAACCTTTTCGAGGACGACTCTAATCAAATAAAGTTACCGTGCATGCCCTCTAGCACCGGCTGAAGCAGAATTTTACATTTTACCATGCCAAATGATGAGCATGCAATGTACAGACTGATATAATCAAGTTCAGTATGGACTCTAAAGTATTTTCTTATCATAATATGATCACTTCAACTCTTATAATTTTCTATCAAAATTATAACGTTAGGTATAAAAAAGAAACTTCTTTTTAAATTCTATAATACTAATTTTTATTGATAATGTTCATTATTACAAAAGATAACATTAATAAATGCGTAGCTTTAATGAGCCTTTGTGATAATCATATTTAACTATGAAGCTATGGACTCATACAACGTGCAGAGAAACAATAGATTAAATTTGGTGTGTTTTTGCCATGGTAAATTTTGCCATGGGTCACTTTTGCCATGGAATTTTTTTGCCATGGGAGATTTTTCATACTTGGGACCTTTATCAACATTCTGTCATCACCACAACTACATTTAACTGACTGGATGTATTGAGTTACTTTATTCGAAATAGTTTCTATGCAGGCTAAAGTTTAAACTTTTAGTAAAACATCAAATACTCATTATTTTTTGTACAAAATACTAAGGCGTTTCAACTGAAAGTTAATTCAACATCTTCGTAGTACGTCAGGAACATTTTTAGAAAAATACATGGACATAAAATGAATTTAACATCCAAATATACGTTTGCAATAATATTGATAGGGGGAAAATAAACGATTTGTGCAATTATTGCGCATTTGTATATTTTGCAACGTTGTTTTAAAATATTATGTCATTTACATGAAAAAGTGCACCTGTACAAAGACAAGTCTTCGTAGCATTGCAAAACAAATTGATTTGTTTATGCTTAAGCTTTTTATTTATTGTTTAAAAAGAAATATATCTTGCAATTCTTTGATTTTATCCGACCTTTTGTGTGTCTTGAGTAATAAACATTGCTTATTACAAATTTACATGGATTATTTCACTAACAGATAGATCGCTTAATTTATTTACTGTTTCCTTCCTTAGAGGAACCACTCTTCGTGGGTTAAATTTTCGTTTGATAAGTGATTTAATAAGATAGCCTGGACATCTTTTGAAATCTCGTAAATTCAATGAGATTACGGGATGATTATAGAATGGTTTAAGTACTTTGATATAACCAGTTTAATGTTTTAAATTAGTTCTCCTGAATCTTAACAACTTGGAGAACTTGACAAATATTGATTAAGTCTGATGTACTTGAAAATGACGATCTTTCTTTTGTATGTAATCTGTTAAAAGTGGGTGATATATGCATACGAACTACAGTAAACATACCTGATTTATGACATTACTTTTAGTCCTGAATAATTGAATTTATGAGATTAAGGAAAAAGAGTATTTTTGTTTACAAATCAGACAAAAACAAGTTGAACTTTCCTAAAACAGTTCTGAAATATTTTAGATCTTTTTCATTTAATTCCATTAAGAATATACCGGTAAAAATGTTACGAAACGTCGTTTGGCAGCATGATCATTTGGGCTTGCCTACGAAGCACGTGCACTTAACTCTCATGATTGAGCACTTTTTTTCCAACGTGAATTGCAAATACATGATATGTGTGGGTCCCCGACATTTCTCAATCCCCTCGAAATAGTGAATAGTGATTGAAAAATATTCTTTCAGCATTTCACACAATCATGGTATTTCATGAAAATTAACATGAACCTGGAAACGCCCTGCTTTAAGGAAAAATGACCGAGATTTAAGATAATTAAAAATGTTTGTAGAATTCAATTAAAATGATAAATACTGTCCTTGACAAAAAGTTGTAGAGTGTTAATCTAAATCAAAAGATTTTCTGTTGATCCACTTTTGTAGCGGATATGCCTTCATTTGATGTGCTTGTTAAAGTTGACTTGTGTTTTAAGACTTCTAAAGGCCATATACTATAACTAGGCGGTGTATATGCACGCTGTCCTTAACTTTTAAAACAAAGTAAATATAAAACCGCTTAACAAGGCATGCTCTATCTGCAGTTCAAAGGTTTTAATTTGAATAATTACAAGAAAAAAATCAAGTCATGCAATCAACGTTGCATTTCATTTTGTTTAATCGTATAAACAGATAAATTCAAACTGTAGGACCAAAACACCCAGTTCCCTGAATTACGTAGGCTATTAAATAAACATTTATATCACAAAAAACTAAGAATGGATGACTAAACTTTTTGAATAAAATCCTTGCGTAAGTGCGTATTAAATATGTTTACTTCAAAAGCAATACCGTTTAATTAGGAAATATATATATCAATTTTGAGTGCATTGTTGTAGAATAATGCACGTTTCGAGTTCAAATGCGAAGGAATATAACATCGAAGGCTGCTTCCGAGGGAAATAAACAAGAAATAAAAGATGACTGAAAATAAGCTCGGTACTGTACACTTTGTACTTGGCAAGAAGCAGTATTTTGTTTGTTTGTTGTTGTTGTTTTTTTGTTGTTGTTGTTTTTTTTTTTTAGCTTGATGTTTTATGTGTTTGTTTGAATTTATTTGATTGTTTCTTAGTTTTTTTTGTTGTTTTTTGTTTTTTTTTTTGTTTTTTGTTTTTTTTTATTGTTTTTTTTTTAAAAATAAAACATGTATTTGTAAGACTCGATAATTCAGGGACTATGATGTTTAAGCATTCTTGAAAAATACGACATGGCAGGAAGACTACCATGTTTCATGTTTGTTAAATTTCATTTTAGTTACACTTGGATTTGCCGGCGGATGAACGGAAGCATTATTTCGGCACTGAACTCATAGAAGAAGGTTTGTTGAATATTTCTACGCTTTTATATAAAATGGAATTGTCCATTTTCAATAAGGACCAAACCATTCATTTATGTTAGGGGGGAATTCAGAATAACCTTGATCAGACGGTTTATCTTGGTCTGCACTGAACGCTAGAGTAGAATCAGCTAACGACCTCAAAGTAAAGGTTAATATTTGACCCTATAAATACGTTTGCTCGGACCTTATACTATTTCAAAATGAATTTTACGAGAGCATAATATGAGATGCCCGTATTAGCAATACATGTTAGGCAAAGGTTTTTTCTTCATTGATTGATTGATTGATTGATTGATTCTTTCTTTCTTTCTTTCTTTTTTCTTTCTTTCTTTCTTTCTTTCTTTCTTTCTTTCTTGTCTTTATTCATTCATTCATTATTATTTGTTGTTTTTTTTTAATTCATTTATTTATTTATTTATTTATTTATTTATTTATTTATTTATTTATTTATTCATTCATTTATTTATTTATTTACTCATTGCCCTTGACGGGTACCTTTACAAATAAGTTTTCTTTCTTATTTAAGCCTTTTGATTGATAACTTTCACCAAACCTCCGAAATGAAAATACATATTTATAATAATCCGTAACATTTGAAAGAATAATAATTATATATTATTTCAATAGAAATGTTAAATTGAGGACTTTATTTCAGTGCCTCATTATCAATATACATCACCGCAGCCGGTTGACAGACGACGGAAAAGGCGGTCTGCTACTGAAGCAGACGACACATTAGAATATATTATAGAAGCGTTCGGTGAAGTAAACCATCTCATTTTGGAGAAAAGTAAAGATCTCATTTCACCAGGTAAATCAATACTCCCAGTATTTCAAATATAACCAGTACCAAGCGTGTAACCAGTACCAAGCGTGAACATAGTACCAAGCATGTAGCTGTACCAAGCATGTAACCGGTATCAAGCGGGTAACCTGTACCAAGCGGATAACCTGTACTAAGCGGTTAAACGAAATCGAGCCGGTAACCAGTACCAAGCGAGTAACATGTACCAGTGATAAAACAAGTGCTATATCATCGAGAATATAAAAGTATTTACTCATTTATAATGAAAGTGCGTTATATTGCTGAGTGCAAGTGCCTAGTTATTTCATTATTTAATTAATTATTGTACGGGGGAAAACGGCAGCCATAATGACTTGAACGTGTCAATGCATGCAACAATTAACTGGTGTGTTAACACCATACACAGTACAAAATATAACAGGCAAAATTGTGATTTGAAACATAAAGTTTAGTATTTATTTCTTTTTCTTAACAGGTTGTATTGTACAACATTTAAAACAAAATGGGTCACGTGATGTTTACCCCTGTGCTGCCGATGAAATCAGCTGTTACTACACTGGGAGGAGCAGTAACTATAGCAACTCATGGGTGGCAGCATCAGTTTGCGGGGGATTTGTAAGTTTATTCCATTGTTTTATACCGGGGGATTTATATGTTATACCGGGGGATTTATAAATTATACCGGGGGATTTATAAGTTGATTTATAAGTTATACAGGGGGATTTATAAGGTATACGTGGGATTTATAAGTTGATTTATAAGTTATACCGGGGATTTAATAGTTAATTCCATTGTTTTTATTACGGGGGTATAAGTTGATTTAACTGTTCTTTATTGATGGAAATTTGTAAGTTTATTCAACTGTCTTCTAAATTACGGGAAATTGTATGCTAAGTTAACTGGAATATTCTGTGGGATATTTGCAAGTTTATCAAATTGAGTCAAATCAGGGTCTTTTAAATATTTGAAAGACCCTAGTCAAATGTATTATTTTGCGCAGAATTTTTAGGCTTATAATTTTTCTGGTATAGTTAAAATTTGTACATCATCTGTTTTATGTCATCTTCGAAAACATATTTCATCATCCATTATATTATGACAAATTTAAGCGGCTTACTTTCACTGTAATGTTTTCATTTCAGCATGCGATGATTGGCTTACAGAATCAAACTCTTGTAGTTCAACCAATCAGAGATCATCACAAGTCACGCGCAAGACGTGATACGTTGTTAAACAATCCTCACATCGTTTATCAATACCAATCACGTGACATGACTGGCTTTGAAGATGGTAAATAGCTTTTTCCTGATTGGCTGCTGTTCTAATATTTGTACAAGATAATAACTATTATCCTCTTGCATTCAAAATTAGAGAGTGTTTCCCCTGATATTTAATCAGCTGTTCGCTATATCCAAAACAAACATTAAACGGTCTTCAGCTTTCATTTTCTGTTGGAAAAACAATTCTGTGTTGTTTCAAACTAAGTACATTGTGTATTTCAAAATTTCATCTTGGAAAAGTGCATCATATCTTTGTTAAGTCTTCTTCAAAACGACTCCCGAGAGTTATTTATAACGCGCCAGTGACGTTCGTTTCTATAAATAGAAGATCGGGATTTACTTTTTTTAAATATACAGAGCGGACTTGAAGATTATGGGTATCGAGTGATTTTCTTATTGTTTATGTATTTTATCGTCGACAGATTTCATTTTGTACCTTAATTCTTTTGATTCGACAATTATATGATAGGATTTGTTTAACAATACACATTGTAATATATTTTACCATTAGAAACGCTGAAGGCCGCTTTAAATAGAAAGACTTTTTGATTGTCATTTTCGTACTTTATTATAAATTGTTTCATTAGGTCAGTACTTATAAATATATAACGCTATCGTATAAAAGACGCATTAAGCCCAACATATTGTGTTATATGGAATTCTCAGAATTTTTTTATTTTGCTTTTCTATTAATTTCTGTTAAAACGGTAAAAAATGGCCACAAAATTAAAGCCTCTTTTGCTTTTTATGCCTTTTAGTTTAGTTTTTACATTAATATGACTCATCTTATATAGCAGATAAGGTCGTTACTTCAAACAAAGCCAGTCGTAGGCGCAGAAGCACCGCGAAGAAATACGTGGAAACAACAGTTGTCGTAGACCCCTCGGCGTACAGGTTTCATGGGAGTGGGACAGAAAAGATGGTGAAAACTGTTTTGAACATTGTACGTTGATTTATTTATTTTTTAATAATCACACCGAAAGAATATGTTTTAAAGGTAACAACATTTATGAATGTCCCGCATGTGAGAATCTTCCATTTTCCAAATGTTATTATATTGAATGTGTTACAGAAGCTAGAATAAATACTTATTTAAAATACCCCGAATAATGGTCATGAAATTAGAATCTTGTTTCCATTTCATTATTTTAGATATACTTAAAACACTACAAAGTCGACCTTAGCTAAATTAAAAATAATAAAGTACATATATCCATCTGAAGATCTTTTTTTAAAGTCAGATCCTTATTAAAGCTATATGAATTAGGATCTGACGACTGCCAATAGATTGTCACCTTCTCGTATCCACGTGCATGCAACAACTCCTAAAGTTGCGCAATCGTCATCACGCATATAACGTGTATAGCTGGTACCCATTTTTATCTCATATTTCAGGCCGCACAGAGGTTTCTGGATCCCAGCCTTAAAGCAGAGCTTTATTTCACTCTAACAAAGATCATGATTTTGGAACACAATGAGGTTTGTTAAACATTTCTTTAAAATAAGATGTTCAAGCGAGGCCAAAATTTCGCGACAGCATTCGGAATAATAAACAAGACTTAATACCTACAAATTTCTACGGTAATTTCTGTCAAATATAACGTTATATGATAATATATACTTCGTAAACATTTATTTTCGCTAACCTTATTTCGCGAAATAAACTAGAATAAATCACTTATGACAATTTCTTATTCTTTCGATAAAAAAGTTGAATATTAGTATTTTGTCCGGTATTTGATCACGAAATTTTAATGTATATATAACGACATTTTAGTCTTAATGATGGAGAAAAACAAAACCACCAATCTTCAATAAGTTGACAGATTTGCAGGAAAGATTGTAAAGTCTCTGTCAACATTCGAATCCACGGTGATAAGGGGAAAGCTATTGTCAGACAGGAGCTTCAACATGAGTATTACGCTACATGTGCTTATATTCAGTATAGTTATACTTGAATACATATCTGATGAGGACATAGAGAATTTTTATGTTCTATGTGCGCACGCAATATGTTTTACGTGCTCACGCAGAAGTAGATATTGCACGGCTACGCAATATGTATAATGAGCGCACGCGATAGTATTACGTTGCAACGCGACAAAAATGAGTACTCACGTGCACGTAAAACATATCGCGTAGTCACGTAATGGCTTACGTGCGTGCATGTATTATCTATCTCAAGGTCACGTTAAAGCTATTGCGTGCACGTGTCCCAATTATGCCGCCGAAAATCTGGCTCTTTAAAAGTGGTATATATACGAACAATATCGGTTGATATATATTTTTCTGATACTTTAATTGTAAATATAATTATGTCATTCTTTTAGGCGGGGTTAACTATAGATGCGGATTCAGGGGTAACACTCGATAGTTTATGTAACTGGCAGGCCGGTTGGAATCCCACTCGGGACTCGAATCCTCAACATGCTGATTATGTTGCATTGATAACAAAGTACGTATTATCCATGCTTCGAATTAACAGGATATTTCATTCAGAGTGAAAAATAAAACTATTGAAAATCAGTCATTTGGAACGAACTCAAAAACATTATTATATTAATATTATTAATATCAATCTGTTCGACTGTGTAATACAATTTATCATTTTTTACAATTGGAAAGAAAAAGCAAAAATGAAAACGCGTAATATTATTTGATTTTGCAGCTATTTTTTCAACACTCTACTCACTGACTTTCCGTTATTTAAATTTAAGTAAGTAAAATGAGAGAGGATATGGCTAGTTATGCCCTCTCGAAAAAAATCATCTTTCACGTGTTTATTATATTATACAGGGTTGACCTAGAGCATAACGGAAACACGGCAAATACCGGATTAGCAAGAAAGGGTATGTGTGGCACTAAAACCCGTTGTTCTGTAAGCGAAGACTCCGGACTTGGGACGGGGATTATAATGGCTCACGAAACTGGACATGTGTAAGCATAGGGGTTTTTTTTGCCATGTATAATGCACATTTTACAAAATAAAGAATAAAAACAGGATACTTATTAAAATGTATTTGTTTAATGTTGATCTTTATATTCAAAAATGCAGATTTTACACGCGTTTATAAATGTAAAACAGCCCATAAATGATGTAAATAATAATCATTATTATGTCCATTAGAAAAGTCCATTTAAGATACATTTATCGTGTTAAAGATAAAATTAATTTTGATACACTCACAGACTCGGAATGGATCACGACTCGGTAGGGAACTCATGTCCAAATGGCAAGAATATCATGTCGAGCATGGCTTCACAAGGTCCAGAGGCTCTGAAATGGTCAAGCTGCAGTGCGGATGTGCCAAGTCTTTTCTAAGGTAAGACTGAGTGACATACAGGTACATGTATTTCCAAGCAAAGCAATATTATCCTGAAAGTGTAATTATTTTTGGTTAAACTTTTGCTTCGATACAATAAGTGTCGGTCCGATGAATTTTCGTATTCTTTGTTCTATGGTAAATTAGTCGCATTTGAGGCTTAATTCTCAATTCCACTGTTCTTGATTAATTATATACTGTCTTCAACTTTAAACATCAACACTATCTAAGTCAAATGAGGCCCGAAATATAATTTTCAGAAATCTTCATTCTGTTTTAACACTGTTTTAATTCACCACTTTGAAAACTCCTGACAGCTGGTTGGTAGTACAGTTTTTAAGCCTTCCGCCATCAAATGGGTTCCTTGAAAAACACAAAAAACAACTTTTAAAGTCATCCTATAACACACAAAAACTACACACATGCAATAAATACACATTAACTATGACCAATCAGACTAGTGAGAACTTAAATTGGGCCACTTCAAAAATTAAAAGAACTACTTTCAACAGGTTCGGTCTAATTCCGTACCGGGGTGAGATCAATATTACATCTTTTATGTATTTATTTATTTTTTTTTTATTTTTTTTTTTTTGGGGGGGGGGGTGAATGCAGAATGTAAATAAGATGTTAATTTGGAGTTTATTTACATATATAAAAAATAAATAAAAGAAAATCTCATATGATACCTTTTAAGATGAACAATCTGTTATCTTTATAGTATTTGAACTACGTTAACGTTGTTATTATCTCAGAACATGATGACCTCTTAAATAAGCCTTTTCAATGCAAGCTGTAACTTATTTTATCAATGCGACCAGTCCAGACCATATCGGTCATAATCGGTGCCGCCTGATTATGGTCTGCTCTCTTCGCTTTTCAGTCATTAAATTTCCAGAAATTTCCCCTGATAATGATGAATGTTTTTTTCCTGATGTAAGGATAGGCTAGTCCATTTAAGATATTAAGCGTGGTTAGGAATGCTAATCATCAAATCTTACTTTTCTAGTTCTTCAGCATCGAGCTGTTTAAATGACGCCCCATCTTCCCAGGCGGAGAAGTTGTATAGCTCCACAACTAAACCTGGAACTATTTACACAGCTAATCAACAGTGTAAACTAATGGTTGGTGATAAGGCGGAAGTGTGCGAAGGAATTAAAGCCGACGGACAGGTTTGTATAGATAACGGACTATTTTCCATTTTAGACCTACTGTGTAAAGCACATTCCATTGCAATCGCGCTTTTCGAAAATATTATTTCGGTATGAACAATGTTGTACAACCAGATTTGCACCGGTGCCTGTCCATTGCAATTCGGACAATGAAACATACATTTGCGTTCCTTGCATTTCACTCATGGTCGAATAAAAGAAAATATATTGTTCGAAAATAACCTTTATACCGCGATGTAAGTTGCATAAGAAAATGAAAAAATAGTAATTTGCGTAAAATTTAACTTTTATTTATTCATTCTACTCATTACTCGTAGCTGCAAAGAACTAATCGTATCAAGTTGCTGAAACTAGAATTCTTATTATTGATATGCAAAAAGAACCAATCTTATCAAGTGACTGAAACTATATTTATTATAACTGATAAGATTTTTTGCTATGTTTTTCTCAGGACGTTTGTGGGGCAATTGTATGTAGACCCAGTCACGATTTTGGCACTAACGGATGTACGATTTATTCTGCACCACGAATGGACGGCACTGATTGTGGAAATAGAAAGGTATGTGAAATAATTATGAGAAAAAAGTCTTAATTTTACAAACTATGCTAAATATTTGTTATGATGTTTAGCGGATTAACTTATACATGTAGTTAGAGTGAACACAATCATGTAGAGTAATTGCATGTGGCTGGAACCCACGGTACACATTCTGTATAATACATTATATAAAGTATTTTATACCGATACCGGCGAATAGCCTGGCTTACCGAGGATGCCAAGCAACAAATATTACAAATTCTTAATCCTTACCACGCTAATATTTCAGATATCGGGGCACTATCGTATCTCGAAACTATGGTGGCTGATTTGGTAAGTTTTTGTACAACACGACAAAGCGCCAAATAGCGCGTTGTGGCGCTGTCGCCTTGTCTCTAGCGCGGCACGCCAAACGGCGCGTTGTCGTGCGGCGTGTTGTCGCTATATCACATTGGCGTTGGGTTCGAATTGAAGGATTGGCTTATAAGCCAAGCGACAGGGCGACATAGCGACAACGCGCCGTATGGCGTGCCGCGCTAAAGACAGGACTACAAAACGAAAGTTCGACAACGCGCCGTTTGACGCTATGTCGTTTTGTCGCTAGCGCCAACACGACGCACAAAAGCGTACCAAATCAGCCACCATACGAAACTGAGGTCGACTTCTCTCCACCTATTTTTAGAATTTTTGTTACGTCAACTTTTGACTTGTGGAAGGCATTTAAAAACAAATACAACACCACTATTATATACTGATGGTTTTGTATTCAAATGTTAAAGAAGGTAAGCATTTTGATACAAGACCTGTGCGACTTCCATTTTAGGAATTGTCCGATATCGGAAAAAATGATAAAAATCTAAAGTTGGCCAGTATGTTTTACTGGTGGCAAAGTCTTGTCACTTTTAGTCTGCGGTAGGGTATATGTTAAATCATATTTTGTTTTAAATTACAGTGGTGTATTGGTGGAAAATGTTTAGATATGGGTCCCGGCTCTCCTGGGCCGGTAAACGGCGGATGGTCAGACTGGGAAACAACATTTAGTCAGTGCTCAAGGTCATGTGGAGGTGGGGTCAAGGTCAGACAACGTTTTTGTAATAATCCGGAGTAAGTGTTTTATCAATTATACATTTGAGCCGCGTCACGACAAAACCAACATAATGGGTTTGCGACCAGCATGTATCCAGACCAGCCTGCGCATCCGCGCAGTCTGATCAGGATCCATGCTGTTCGCTATCAGTTTCACTACTTGTTATAGGGTTTGTAAGCGAACAGCATGGATCCTGATCAGACTGCGCGGATGCTGGTCGCAAACCCATTATGTTGGTTTTGTCGTGACACGGCTCATATTTTGTGTGTATATATACGATATTAACTTCTTGCATTTCCTGATTTTGTAACTAATCGTAATAGGAATATTTTAAAGGCACATTATGCCTCAGAAATCCGTATTGTTTTCATTCTTTAGAAATGTCTTACATGTTTTTAACATGTTTCAATAATAAGCTTAGAACATGTTTCATGTCTAAGTTCTGAAGAAAGTGGGACTGAACTTGCAGTAATGCGTCGTAAATTTATCAAAATGTTAACAATTAAAGTAGTATTTGGACTTCCAAACAAAATAATTATTCATTATAATTACATGTATACCAAATTGATGACAGCAAAAGATAGTTCATGTATATAAAAAAAATGACTATATTTTCGGAAACTGTAACATAATACCAAAAAATAAAAGGTTTTGAGAAATAAAATTGATAGCATTTCCGAGGCATTATAAACCTTTAATATTCCTACCTCGATATACATGTATGTGTCATAATGAATTTAAAATTAAAGACACCAGGCGTGCAGTAATGCGTCGTATATTTACCAAAATGTTAACAATTAAAGTAGTATTTGGACTTCCAAACAAAATAATTATTCACTATAATTATATACCAATTGATGACAGCAAAAGATAGTTCATGTATATGCACGTTTTGAACGGGGTGCAATTGTATTTTCATTAAAATTTCTGATTTGTTTCAACTTAGATCTTAATCAGTGTTCAAATATGGGGTCTACAAAATTCTGGGACAAGATAAATTTGTATTAATCGAAGTGTATAAATGCATATAATTTATTTAAAAATAACTTTCAGACCGATGTACGGAGGTCGCAAATGTTCGGGATCACCGACTAGGGCTGAAGTATGTAACATGCAGGAATGCAGCACCTCCCAGCACGACTTCCAGGCTCAGCAGTGCTCCGCCACCGACGGAAATCCGATCGGAGGTCATCGTTACCATTGGATACCGAACACTGACTCTATAGGTACATCAGCAAGTTTTACAATCGATTTAAAATATCTAAAAGTTTTAAATGAAAATAGGACCTTTATCTTTGTATATACATTAAAACTAAGTAAAGAATGCCAAACATCAGGTTCAACTATAACTTGTAAATTGTACTGGTTTTTGAAATAGGTTTTACATATAACATAATATAGATATCAAGAAAGGTTATTTCACGTTTCCAGCAGATCAATGTTTATATGCAATAAAACATTAATTTAAATACAAATGTTCATATATTGTATTTAGACGGGTTATATACCTAAAAATAAACGATTGTAAGGTTATATTAACCAAGCTGTCAACGGTTATATTATCACAGAAAACAGTTGTTTTATGCACAACAACCGAACCTGTCTAAACCATATATAACCAATCTTTACTGCTGTACAAGTACAAATTTAAGATATATTGATACGTTTAAGCGTCTCGACTGGCCAATGACAATCTTCGTTATATAAAGAGAAGTATCAGAATAATATTTTTAACCTTCAGTACAAACGTGCAGTATTGTAAATGATGGCATGGTTCGGTATGGCTCTATTCGATGCACTGCGATGCACTGCGTCTGTCGCAACCAAACTCCTCACAGTGATTTGATTGGCTACGCTCAAATCACTGCATTCACTTACTTCACGTGACCAAAGAAAAGGGCACGTGATTCAAAATGGAGGCCACGATCGTAGTCGAAAAATATGTCTTTTTTTGGGACAAAAACAAACTTTTCTTCTTCCATTTTCGAAAGAAAGCGAATAAAATCAAACTTAATCATAAATTGAATAAAATTTAAGACAATTTTTTTAATTTCTATAGATTGCAAAAATCCTTCTTTCGCATTATTTCCCGTTAAGCACATGACCGAAAGTATCTGCAAAATAATATATCAATTTAAGCAATCTCTTACCGAATACATGTAGTTATCTTTGAGTTGCATGTACAAGAAATTATATCACAATCAGTTATTTTTTCTGAAGCATATTTTATAACTATTTTGATAAAAGACTAACTTGTGATAGCAGTGGTCTTTGTAGCAAAGCAAAGGGGGACCACTGCGTTTGATTTTGGATCGCAACCAGAAAGGCCCGGCTGATGACGAATGTCCGACCAGAGTTGTCTGTTTCCGAGTTGTCTGACAAAACTGCTGTGATTAAAGTTAGCGCCCGAACCCTGCCATCAATTTAGGTTTGCAAAAGCACACTTCGAATAAAATAAAAATGTACAATGTACATGTATGTAAATAATGTAAAAGTATTTATATTTTGTGTTGCTGCAGGTGACGACAGTTGTAAAATCAACTGTCAAGCAGATGGGACAAACTATTTCGCTAAAAGGGGAATCAGTAAGGATGGAACGCAGTGTATAATAGACACGCCAGCCTCATTCACAAAATGCGTGGCCGGAAGTTGTAAAGTAAGTTCTCCAAGAACGACGAACCAAAATCAAATCGGCTTACCTCGGGTCATGTCGTAATAAAACCGAAACTTCTTGCATTTTTCCGACAAGTTTTGGTAATAGATCTATCTATTTTTCGTACAATTTTATTGTAAGAGCAGGCGATTTCCAATGTGACGTCATCCCTTGACAAAATACTAATATGACGCGTCGATGGTCAGTAATCCTTAAAATGTAGACACTAAGTTTTTAATTTAATGTGGAATAATTTTTCATTAAAGTTGCAAAATATTAACAAAGAAGTTTTTGACTTCCATGCAAAATACGAAATCACTAATAATTGTACTTATTGCCAAAAGGCACCAGAACCAAAAGATTTTTCACGTAATTGGCCAATCAGTAACTTTCTGAAATCTATTATATGAAGGTTTTGGGAAATAAAATAAAAGCATTTCTGGATCATATTTGGTCTTTAAATCAAAAACAAAGAAAACACTATATAAAGACTACACTATTTGATAAATGAGCCACGTCATGACAAAACCAACATAGTGCGTTTGCGACCAGCATGGATCCAGACCAGCCTGCGCTTCCGCGCAGTCTGATCAGGATCCATGCTGTTCGCTTACAAACCTTATAACAAGTAGAGAAACTGATAGCGAACAGCATGGATCCTGATCATCCTGCACGGATGCGCAGGCTGGTCTGGATCCATGCTGGTCGCAAACCCATTATGTTGTTTTTGTCATGGCGCGACTCATTTGATAAATCAACCATGTTACAGGCATTTGGGTGTGATGGCCACATGGATTCTGCTCACAAGTATGACCAGTGTGGTCTCTGCAATGGTAAAGGAAACACGTGCAAAAAACTATCCGGAACATTTCATGGCGGCAAAGCTAAAGGTACCAAAAACTTATTTTAATACAAAATATATGTGAAAATACATCAAATAGGAACCATACGCGTTACAAGTCCGGTTTGTGTTAACTCGTTGATCGACGGCAGTGACAAGAGCCTACAGTCGATGCCCCCCTCCCCGGCGGGACCGGTTTAAGCAGAATTCACCATGTACATATGAAAAAAGTGTATTTAAGAGTCCGTAAGAATTAAGTTTTTGTGCTAAACAAAATGTCATTGTATGATAGATAATTGTTTTGTCCTCGCTTTTGCAAATATAATATTTTCGCTAATAAGATAAGAAATACATTACATGTATGTATATTGCAATATTATAGCGATGATTTATCAAATGTCCAAGATATCGTAAAAACAAAATGTAATCTTTCTTTCATATAAAAGAGATCTATTTCACAGATAATATAAGACACATTCAATTTTGAAGGGTAATAGTTATGTACATGTACATCATTAAAAACGTCTTTATTATTTTCCAGTGTTTACAACGTTCGTTAAAATACCTAAAGGAAGTACAGGGATCACTATAACACAAGGCAATATGTACTGTTACCTTAGTAAGTATAGATCTTACATGATAATTTGACACTCATAATATAGAAAAGTATAGATACTTGAAGACGTTTTGTCACTATAACACAAGGCAATATGTACTGTTACCTCAGTAAGTATAGATCTTACAAGATAATTTGACACTCATAATATAGAAAAGTATAGATACTTGAAGACGTTTTGTCACTATAACACAAGGCAATATGTACTGTTACCTCAGTAAGTATAGATCTTACAAGATAATTTGACACTCATAATATCGAAAAGTATAGATACTTGAAGACATTCTGTCACTATAACACAGAGCAACTATAAACTGTTACCTTAGTAAGTATAGATCTTACAAGATAATTTGACAATAATAATATAGAAAAGTATAGATACTTGAAGACGTTTTGTTACTATAACACAGAGCAACTATAACACAAGTTACCTAAGTAAGTATAGATCTTACAAGAGAATTTGACACTCATAATAACGAAAAGTATAGATACTTGATGACATTCTGTCATTTACAGTCATGCGTAGTACTGTTTAATATTTGTTTTTCCATTGTCATTTCTGAATAATTTATCTATGAGCAGTAAAGAAATATTCTAAACTGTCTGACAATTTATGAAAATAAAATACAAATTCACCTTCTATGTACAATGTAATAAATTCTTCCACAATCAGCCTTTAATAGATAGAACAACGTTTTCACGAATTTTAACAATTTTCTCAATTTATGAAACAAAACTCAAATGAATTGTCACAAGCAGTTACGCGATATGAAATGAGATTATGTCACAACCTGTACTAAACGACCGCATACTACAAAAACGACAAACAAAGAATCTTAGTGACCGTGCATTGTTGATTTTTGGAAACCGCCTGCCAAAAACGACCAATTTATCCTGCAGCAATGGTTTAAGACTGGTTATACTAAGTGAAATGCCGAAACTATGCACATGTAATTAATCTCGACTTCTATATTATTTCACTATAGGTATGGTGGTTGGAGGCAAACACTTGTTCACGGAAAGTACGCCACATTTGTCCGGTGTATATAACAGAGAAGGAGTGATAATAAAATACCAGTCTAAACCGGAAAGAATTGAAATTGTAGGCCCGATTAGTACCGATATAGAAGCCCAGGTAATGTTTATGGGAGAAATTCATATGTTTACGGCATTTGTTTTTCGTATTAGCGTGCTTATAACTGACATATTTGTTGATATTTTGTAGATACGCATAATGTTAATCCGGGAATATACAGCTTTTGAAATAAATGGTCGTTTTATTCAGCCTTTGTCCTAACTTTTCGTCTGAAATATCATAAACGCTGCTCAAGTCTGGTGATGGTAAGACATTTTCAAAGCTAGGACCTCTTTCCAGATGAAATAGGACAAAGACTAAATAAAACAGAAGAAAAGAATATCATATTGAGATGGGTTGTAAAAAAATAAACTATGGTATCGGGATATACAAAACAAATGTGTAATAAATTGTTATATGCATTATGTTATTCGCATGAAACTCTATTTAACATACAATTTGTGCATTATTTTAAAGGTATACCGCAAATATGAACCACCGTATGTGGGCGTTGATCCAGATGTGTATTACGAATACCACATACCGACCACCACACAAACTGTGACATACTTATGGAAAACAAAAATTGGAGCTTGCACAAAGACCTGTGGAACAGGTATATATTGTACAAAATTCAGACCACGGTGGCCCGCATAATATCGTTTGTATCTTTAAAACTAAAATATGACATTTCGTTTATTTGAATTGACGACAGTAGATGAATCATTACAATAAAAGTCTTGAAAGTGTTGCCTGTGTTTTGATGGTAGTTTCTAAAAATTGTTTCAGTTTCATGACTAGGCGAATTGGTAATTTCTAAATATAGAAAGTCGGGCATATAAATGTGATATTCCGAAAGCATCTCTCAAATCGTGACCTGAAGATTATGTCAAGTATTGTTTCATGACGTCATTTTCTCGTTCTTAGGACATCAGACGCCTATCATCACGTGCGAAAGCAGCGTGTCTGGGACAGTAGATGACTTCAACTGTAATATACACGATAAACCGGGGGAAACGATACATCCATGCAACACCCACGCTTGTCCACCAAGGTAATCTGTCAAAGTTACTCATTATTTATGTTTATATAATTAAAATTAAAATATAGAAAATCTACCAACACCGGGCCAACTGTGTATTTAGTGCGATACAATTTTGATGCTGTATGCCAATATTTTAAAATTCATACATTTATTCCTTTTATAGCTGTAATAGACGCTAGCGCTAATCATAATTCTTTTTCCTTTAATTCATTTAAAAAAAATAGCGATTGTATTTTTATTGGTATTTTTTTACTTAAATGAATAATATGTGACAATTAAAAGCATTTGTCCGAAGTACTTCCGGTGACGTCATTTAGACGGCTTTAATCGCGTGATTGAGATTTGTGGACTTGTATTATAGGTGGAGGGCCACGCAATGGGGTACATGTAGCAAGTCATGTGGTGGGGGAACTCGTCAAAGAACAGTCGAGTGCGTGGAGGAAAACAATAATGTAGAAAAGGTAAACACGTGATATATGGCGTCATTGATCCATTGTTAAGTCGTCAAAACGTTGAGAGCATATTGACGTTCGTGGTGTATTTATTGGCAGGAGGAACTGCTACACGAGGGATGAATTTCTTATGATAACTTATCAGGAGTCCTTATGATAACTGTCACGGAGTTCGTCGGAAAACTCTGGTATATACCGAAGAAACACACGTCCATAGTATGGTAATTTTCATCTTGAAAAAGAGAGTTATCAGAAGAACTCCTGACAAGTTATCATTACAACTCCCTCCTCAGTGTAGCAGTTCCTTCCCCGTGATGTACAAACCGTTTTACCGACGCCAGTGATGGCAGTCACAGAACCTGAAAAGTTATACTGATTTTCATTTTCATTGCTATAGACTTGCTGTCCATTGACTGGAGATGCGTTCACGTAATTTTGGATTCGTCATCTAATTTCATAAAATATTTTGAGCAGGTTAAAACTGAAAGCTGCTGAAAAAAACGGAAAAAGTTGGTTTTTAGAGGCGTCCAAACTAGCCCATTCGAAGCGAAAAAACTGCCGTTGTAGGCAGAAATATATTTTCAAGGCTGCCCATAATGACAACAAAATGAAAGTGGTTAGCATTCTGATAAAAAAATCAAGATCGCCCTGGCAATAATTTCCTTATTCATATCACAACTGAGACTTCAAACTTTTTTATACCCTCCACAAACGAAGTTTAAGGGGTATACTGGAGTCAGCTGGACGTCGGTCGGTCCGTTGCAGATTTCTTGTCCGGGACATAACTCAGAATGTACAAATGATAACAACATTAAATTTTGTAGGATAATAGATCTCATAAATATTTCTTTAGAAATAAAAACGATATACGTGCTAAAATATTACTTGTACACATCAGAAAATCTGTTAGTTATAACATGATGTTTATGAAATGTTTGTAGGTATTATCTGCAAGCCGATGTCACGGTCAGGTAAAGCCCGGGAGGTCATCAACTTGTAACACAGGCGCGTGTCCTGCCGTCTGGAAAACAGGGGCGTGGTCTGCAGTAAGTCGCTTATATCAAATACTCTCAAGCGATTCAAATAATCGCTTACAACATTCAAATATATAACTTATCAATTAAATTAAAAAAAACAATTAACAGAGATTTGCACGTATACCTTTGTCTATGAAAATTGTTAACAATATTGAATACGTCAAACTTTTTTAATATCTTTTAAAATAAATTGTTCTGTAATTGAATGTATGTAATACAATAAATGAGCCGCGTCACGACAAAACCAACATAATGGGTTTGCGACAAGCATGGATCCAGACCAGCCTGTGCATCTGCGCAGTGTGATCAGGATCCATGCTGTTCGCTATCAGTTTCTCTTCTTGCTATAGGGTTTGTAAGCGAAACGGCATGGATCCTGATCAGCTTGCGCACGCTGGTCTGGATCCATGCTGGTCGCAAACCCAGTATGTTGGTTTTGTCGTGACGCGGCTCAAATGATTATGTTACCAGACATAACAACAAATCACGGAAAGAATATAGACTTTTATTACTCACGTAGTCATAGATACCGTAATTTTGGACGTAGATCTAAACTAATATGTCTTGTGCTTTAAACGCAGGACAGAATTCTAATTCTACTTTCAATATGCTCTTTATCAGTGTTCGGATTCATGCGGTCAAGGTTTGAAGACTCGAGCAGTTAAATGTTACACAAGTGCGAGCTCGAACTCCCCGATAACTGACTCGAACTGCCTAGCTGGAGATAAACCCGCTACACAAGATTACTGCCTAGAAAAACCATGTCGTACTGATATAAGTGAGTTAATGTATTTGTATGGAAATCAAATTACCACTTTATTTACATTTTTCTACCATAATCACAAATAATGTTTACATTAAGTGTAATTTTCTTTAGGTTATAAGCATTGTTCTATCTTTTTTGTGTGGGGATGGGGTTGCTATTTAATTGTTGGGTGTAACTTTTTTTTAGTTTTTTTTAATTAATTAATTCATTCATTCATTCATTCATTCATTCATTCATTCATTCATTCATTCATTCATTTATTCATTTTTTATGTATTTATTTTTTGTATTAAAAAACACATTTTTGTCAGGAAATATTTCATTTATGAGTGCATTGTCCAATAATATTGCAAAAAAAAAATCCTTTGTAGTTTAAGCATTCTATTGTGTATTGACAATGTTTGTAGGTGGCGCTAGTTGTAAAGATAAGGTCAACGAGTGCTTTAAATCATACGGAGACGCTGTATGCACGGGCTCGTATAAATCATGGGCACGAGACAATTGTATGAAGTCATGCGGTGTCTGCGTTGAAAATCCGAGCGGTAAGTCAAACAGTCGGACATTTCCGTTTTAACTCTTTTACTTTCGTCTTGTTATGAAATAGTATCCATTTTCAGAAAAATAACTCAGAAGTGTCTGTAAACAGAACAAAAAATATCATATTGTTTGTAAATACATTTAAATTGGTAAAATGATAGTACAATTTCAGTAAATCATATTGAATATCAACAACATTGTTTAGAGCATGCCAAGTAAAATTGCATTGTTTAACTTTGTATGTCACATCACATTAAATTTACATTTATTCATTGACTTTATAGATACATTATATTTACATTATTTAACATTCTATATATGTGCATTGTATATTTACATTTTATAACGTTTACATTGCATTTACACTACATTGATAGTACAATCTCATTACATTTACATTACATTCTCAATACATTTCTTTTACAAAGGTATTACATTACACTTCCATTACAACGAAATTGCATTTACATTACATATTATTACATTTACATGGTAATATCATTACATTTACATTACAATATTATCACATTTACATTGCACAATCATTACATTTACATTATAATTTTATTACATTTTCATTGCAATATCATTACATTTACATTACATTTCTATTTATATTACATAACGTTTACATTATATTTACAGTATATTTTTACAGTACAATCTCCTTACATTTTCATTACAATGTCATTACATTTACATTACATGTATTACATTTACATTGCAATATCATTACATTTACTTTCCTATCAACATTACATAACGTGTACATTACATTTGCATCACATACATTACATTTACAGTATAATCTCATTACATTTACATTTTAACAAATCAGATTATGATCCTAACTGTAAGGATGAGATAGACAACTGTAACCAGTATTCAGCAGGATTCTGTACCAGCGGATCATATGTAGCATGGGCGAAAAATCATTGCAAGAAATATTGTGGATATTGCGGTTAGTTTCTTGCTCTTTCATAAAGATTTTGCATAAAACTAACCTACGGATATATGTGTTGTTACTTCCACACTGACTTATGAAAGTTGTCGTTTAGTTTTTTTTTTTGTATTTTTGGAAGGTTGGACCATCATTAGAATACAAGTTCATCCAAGAAAACGACAACTTTTGGGGAAAAAATGAAATAAAAACGTAAACACAGCTACCATGTAGTCTTTAAATGTGTAACTATAAGTAACATTACCTTCAAGAAAGGGCTGTACTCGGCATAATTTATCATTTTGTAACTATTTATAGAATCAAGTTCTATCATTTTGTTACTATATATAGAATCAGGTACCCCCATTTTGTCACTTTTTATAAAACCAGTTACCACCATTTTGTTACTATTTATAGAATTAGTAACCACAAATTTGTTACTATTTATAGAATCAATTACCGCCATTTTGTTACTATTTATTGAACCAGTTACCACCATTTTGTTACTATTTATAGAATCAGGTACCACAACAAAAGCCCCAGCAGTGGACGCCAATTGTCTGGATACAGAAAACTGTGCCGGTTATGGGAAAAGTGTTTGTACTGAGTATGCGCCATGGGCAAAGAGCCATTGCAAAAAATTCTGCAACTTATGCGAGATATCAGCTACAAACTCCGGTAAGCTTATGATATTTTAAAACATTCTGCCCGCTTTTAATATAAGACCAACTCCGTTAATTTCCGTAAACAATGTTTTTTGGGTTAGCGTTGCAGATACCTATGTCGAATGAATGTTTGGCATTACAGAAGATACGTAAAAATGCAAATTGCGTGATAGGGGCTTATATAAAACATGTATAATGTTTAACATCACATCATCAAATACATGCGGAAAACTACAAAATAGAGCGCAATCTTAATTATTTTAATTAAGTGTAGATCGGGCATATTCTAGGTAGGTTTTTGGTTTCCTTGTAAGAGATTTCAATCTTTATATTTAGAATTCCATCAGTCAATTTTTAAGGCATAAATGTTTTGTGTAATTATATAAAACAGCTATAGAGTAATTATATTAAGTGGAAAGCGACGCCATTTTAAGGCATCGCATGAAGGAACTAACCGGCTTCATCTGGAAAAGATAACTTCACTAAATATCTTATGTCTTAATTGGGAATAGTGCACGCGATGTGGAAAACAGTTTTTCCCTTAATAAGCCTAGAATTAATACATATTTTACGAATGAAATAATACATGTAATAATACTGATCGCCATATCTTCAAAAATGATGTCATATACCACGTGGTTTTGCGGTTTTGAACTTAATGAAGTTTTTGTTACAAAAAAAAAGGAAACAGCAACACGTGTGAAAATACGGCAGACTGTGACGCCTACGGAAGTACCGTATGTCAAATGAAGGAGTTTGCACAAAAACATTGTCGTCGTTATTGTGGACTATGTCAAGGTTAAATACATGTTGTCGCTAGTGTTGATTTTATTTCATTCTATTTTATTATTTATTTTTATTTATTTTTTGGACAATTCTGAGTATGTCTATTTTTTCTTGTGTTTTCTTTTCTGGAAGTCTGTGTTTGAATGTACTGCATGGCATTTTAGAATGATCAATTATTATGACACTGTTTAAGTCTAAAAAATTATTATTTGTGTTATTATAAGTTTAACCAGGGCCTTTAAAAGACCTTGGAGTCAGATACAGTTATGGATAACAAGTCAAAATAATCTACTGCATGGAATGTTGGGTTTAACTTGTGTACATATTATACATGCTTACAAGATTATCCTGATAAATGCGTTTTGCTTTATTAGTATAATGGTAAAATGTGTGTGACCACCTTTTTCTAGTGATACATTTTATTTTTAAGGTATTAGATCTTCTTTCTGTAAGATATTACTTTTGCATAGATGAAGTAGTGCTTTCGTAGGGCATGGGTTCAAATCACACAGGAAGTAAAGTTTTTCTTCAGTTTTCTTACTTATTTCTTTCTATCTGGTTAGATTTTGGTTTTCTTTTTGAATTCTTTGACTGATGTACAAGGAGTAAGCTGTGTTAATGTGTCACTGAAATAATGGCTTAAAGTGGATTGGTATACAATGGGCAAATTTTAAGTTATTTTTTACACAAAAAATTGCATCGGAGAAAGTCATTTTAAAGCTATTGATAGATCATATACATGTAATAAATATTTATAAATCATGTTGGATGATTTATCCACCACTTACAAACAGCATCCGTGTACATTATTAGTGTGTGTTTTGTTTTCACATTATGATACTGAATACTATCAACATAATTATTCGTGTTATTACAGATCTTCTATTATCGACCAATTCACTTTAATATATAAAATGTTCTAATTTCTTTTCAAATTCTCCAAAATTATAAGCAGTAAAGTATGTGGTTGATTTAAAGATATTTGGTTTGAGAGATCCAGATTTATGCATGAAAACCCTCTATACTACTGAATTATTGTCCCGAAAAATGATTTGCTCGAATTTTAGTTATAATTTCCTCGAAAATTGTAAAAAGAAAGCTGAAATTAAGACAAACGAGGTAAAAAAGGCTATCAAAACAACATTATGAAAGAGAAAGAGCTCACGATAGTAGATCGGAATAACATTGGACTAGTTTTCATTGAAATTTTTCATGTTTGCAAGCAAAGTTATTCTAACGTCATTTTTTTTCTGACGTCATTTTTTTAGAAAACAATGACGTCTGATTTTGCTTTGACCTTTCAGGTTGCAAGGACCAGGAGGGCAACTGTGCGGGATATGGAAGCAGTATGTGTACCGAGTACAAACCCTGGGCCAAAGCTCATTGTCAGAATTTCTGCGGACTTTGCAACGCCAGGAAAAAGCGTAAGTCATTCTTGCAATGAGCAATTGGTTTATGAAACAGCAAAGAAGTCCTGGTATATTTGAAATGTATATAAAGATACATTTTTAAACGTTGTAATGATAAAATTAATTGAAGACATACTTGAGATTTTTGAAATATTAAGTTATCACGTTTAAAGGCTAAAAATGCACGATTTTCTCGTAGCTGACCTCTATTTTAAATTCTTGATAAAATATCATTTTTAACGTTTGACGGAAAATACAGTCATTTGTTTTTTTAAAAAACAAAACAAAACAAAAAATCGAAAATAAACATAACTTAGTTCATTTTAACTTTAACAACGATGGATATCCAAAATGAATTGGCCTATATTTAAGTCTGGACAATACCGTTAATCATTTGTAGGGAACATTTCAAAATAATTTCTGACTAAATAGTGAACAGTGCAGACTATGATCAGACGGATTGGGTTGCACATATGTATCGGTCGATCATGGTCTGCACTGGGTAGAATCAGTTGTCGCTAGCAAGTTAATGGCTATGTGAGGAATATGCAGGAATAACAAATTTCATATAAGTTGTTAAATTTCAATTCTAGGTGACGTAGACGAGTCGGGACCGCCTCCCTTAATAGGAGGTAAGTTCTTCGGTAATAATAATACGTTTGTATGTTTAAATAGTGGCCTATTAGTAATACATTTGCCTATCCAACGTTTAAAGGCCCATTAAGCCCTCACCCCCTCCCACATCCATCCGGTTATTTTATATTTATGTCTAAAAAACTGTATTATTGTTACGATGCTGTTACATTTTTCGACGTTACTCATTGGCTTGGCTATATAGCAGAACCAACTGCTGTGCTTTTTGACTTATTTTGACGTCAGTAAAGTTATAAAAATAGTGACTTTATATTTTGTGTGGAAGACAAAGTACCCCTCGATTTACGTTTAACTTCTTATATAACAAGTTATTTCTCATCCGATGCCGATTTATTGATTAAATAAGCATCAAACATGCTTTAAATAAATTATTGAAACATTTTACATGTATAATATTACACAATTACTATACATGTAGATCGTCAGTTTCCATTTTCTTCAAAGAAAACTATAACGATTTTTTTTCATACAAAATATAAAGTCACTATTATTATAACTTCATTAATGATAAAATTGGCCAGAAAGTTGTTTTGATGTTCAGTTTTATTGAAACAATGATGAACTAAAAAATAATGAAACTCCGATTTTCAGTTTAATGACATTTTTTTAAGAATAAAAATATAATAATATAAGTCAAATATATTACATTTGCTTATAACAGCATGCAATTTGGAGATTAAAAAAAAAAATTGGTATTTTTTTTATTATATTTTCTTTTTTTAATACATTTTACCGGAAGTTAGAAGTATTTCATAAAAAGCACGTGCTATATTTAGAACATGTGTTATATATTTAGAACCAAATGTTCGAGCTGAAGACATGCTTACAAACGAACTTCTTGCAATGGAGAAAGACGGTGTTTATGATGACGTAGAAAGTGACGACATTTCCGATGTGGATGAGGAGGAAAATAGAATACCACAGCAACCTGTTTGTGGAACGGTTCGAACAGAGTCAAGAGGTTCAGTGGACCTTGTAGGAAAGCTGTTACCAGGTAAATGGAACACGTGAACACGTGACATTAAATGTTTGAAAGTGTTTTATTTGATATAGATTTGACGAATCGATGACAAGGTTAGGCTAAATCTACACCAATATCAATAATGATGCTAACCTTTTTTATTCTTATTTTCAATTCTTCTATCGCCATTATTTTCATTAATAAGAAACACCCACAATTACATGACTTAATTTGTTAATTGAATTCTTGAAATGAAAGTGTAGTTAGCACAAAATTCTAAACATAGAATATGTATCAAAATGTAGCTCGCTCTCTTTTTCTAAATAGATACATAATTAACATTTTCATTCAGATAATATATAATATTTTAGCGTACGTGAAATTTATGTTCATAAGAAAATTTCAATTCTTGTAAAAGGTCTATGAATGGTTAACAATTTGTCAATGATTTTCAATGAAATAAACTAAGTTTACATTACAAAAGCAGATGAGTCTTAAATATGTTAATTTATCTTTTATTAATAGGCGTTCTGTGTGAACAAGTGATCGTCTTACCTATAGACAGCCGAGTACTTCTTAAATTTACAGATTTCAGTGTAAATTGTGACAATGGTAAGTTGACATTTCTATTGTATTCTTTTTCAACATATACAATACGTAAATTACACATTAAACGGATTTTAATCCTCACAATGTAAATATGTTAACAGATTTTAAAAAGTTCAGCTGTGTTTGATCAAAGAGTAGTTATGAAAGCATCTAGATGGCTTCGACAATATGACGTCAAACAGAAAAGCTGACGAAATAAAGGATTTTTCTAAATTAATTTTTTTTTGGTTTTACGGCGCACAAACACAATTAAGGTCATCTGGCACCGAATCAGGAAAGATGATTTTGGCTATACTAGGGTGTTACAAAGTAAAAGCAACACCAGAGGTCAAAACCATCCAACCTGCTGGAGCTAAGAGATGCATAGACTCCAGTTGTTTTAACCAATGTGCCTTTTGAATATACGGTTATTTCTAATGTTATTTCTAATGTTATTTCTAATGTTATTTCTAATGCTATTTCTACTGTTATTTCTACTGTTACAGGAGATAAGTTGTTGGTGAAAGATGTCGTGAAAAATGAACAAATGGCGCTCTGTAACTCTGTCGAGCGAAATGATTGGTTAGCGAGCGGTAATATTGTAGAGGTCAAGTTTAGACCGGCTGTCGAAGGTCACGGAGTTGCTTACACGTATGAGGCGTTCCCACAAAACAATACTATTCCAGGTACAAGTGAACATATTAAAAGAATGTCTACAGTTTAGATATTACATACATAAAAATATCTTAAGTGCATGACTTCATCACTGATAGTACATGTAGTATGAGTAAATTTCGATTTCTTGGACTTAAAGTATTTATAAATCATATTTTTTCTCTCAAATCAAATAGTGTATACTAATATATTTTAGTACAAATGTGTTGATAGCTATAAGCTTATTGAAACAGTAGAATCTGTCTCTGGAACAAACCAGGACTGCGCAATGAGTGTAAAGTTTCTTGCTCATTGAAACAACGGCTTAAAGTTTTTGTTTAATAGATAAGTTCTCACTGACACCATGAATAAGGGTTTATTCTCTAAAAACATGAAAGTCTACTATGTTAAAGAAATCTACATTCGAAGCATAGGAACTTTGGATCAGGACCGCATATTGCGGCGCATAAATCCGAATCCTTACCGGCTTTACATTTAGTTTGTCCGACCTTTGAATATCTTTTCATATTATGCGAGCGGGTGGTCTTTAATTATCTTATCTCAATTTAATATAATCTGCTAATTCAAAAATCAGTCAAATTTACGGTATATTGAAAAAAGAAAAGGAGTGACATCCGCCATTTGCCGCAACGTTCGGCGTAAGTTATCCCCCTTGGTATGCTGGATTTTTGTTTTTTATTTTTCTAGTAATGAATACCAGATGAGGGCCAAAATATTTATCTATGGATCATGTTTTAATATTCCTTTTTCAGTTAGGCAAACCCAGTTTGACCATATTACTAAAGTGTAGGGGAGGACCCTAGATAATGTTGGTATAACTTTTTATCCAACCCTTTTGTATGTACATTATATTCATGCTTAAGATATTGATGTTAGATTGTGTAAATTAATCATGTACAAAATATGCAATAAAATATTATTACACTATTACTAAAGTGATATAATGCCGCCTATACATGTCAACACGTGTAAACAATAAACCCTAACGTTATATCCGGACGATACCTGATAGTTGACAAAAATAACGGGAACAAAATTCTGAAAAAAATAGTAATCAATTGTAGCCAAAGGGGAAAAGCTCATGCCGAAAACGTTGCGGCAAATGGCGGATGTCACTCCTTGTCTTTTTTTATAATACCGTAAAATTTGACCAGTTTTAAAAGAGACAGATTGGGTTCAATTGATAATATATTTTTTGAGTCCATACACTCGGATTATACTAAAAGATATTTAGATGTAGCAGAAACGTTTTTAAAAACCGTTACACGATCGAAAATATATACCGCAATCTGCGGTCCCGTTCTCGAGTTCCTATGATTAGAAGTCCCACTTTTGATCAAAACGTGATGGGCTTTTTCATTACTCGATCGCTACATGCATATGACGTATTTATTCACAATCATGGTCTTTTTATCATTTTTGATCTTTCAACTTTTTCAGCGTGTAATCAAGTGCTCACGTCTGCTGTCGGAGAAGTGTCGTCTGTAAAATATCCAACAGGTGCTAGACGTGAAGACGCTGCGTGTGAAATTTATATCGTTGGAACTCCTGGGAAACATATTGAGATGATTTTCAATGAATTTGCAATGTCAGTGGATGGAAATGAATCATGTTTGCACGTAAGTATACATCCGATGTGAGTTTATCGGAACTTCCTTTTATAACCAGTTCTATCTATCCCTTCTCAAAGTATGTAACTAAAGCAATCAACAAGTACACGTCACTTGTTTATCATGATCTATTTATCATTGTTGCGGCCATAGCTTTATGAGGGCATGTATAAGTTTTTAAACTCTTGGCACATTAAAGAACCAGGAGAAGCTTCTGGCAGTTGGGCATCTTTTTGTATCTAATTCTTGCACAATCCTCCGAAATATGAAATACTCTTCTTGCAATCGGTTGCGAGTATAAATAATTTCGAATACAAATTGTATTTCCAAATTAATCGCTTGGCCTTGCTCCATCAAACACATAATTATCTATTTCTAATAGTCATTTTGATGATTTCATATATGCAATTAAGAACTTTCTAAAGATTTAAAAAAAGTAACTCATTTTATTTGTTTGGGTCGTCAGACCAAACAAATAATGCAAGCGAATTTTCAGACCCTGGTGTTCTCATTTGCAAATGCCGAAAGTAGTCCAAACTCCTCGAAGCGGTTTCTTCCCTTCATATGTTCATTAACGCCGACAAATTAAGGGGAGATCACTGCGTAAATATTTCAAATGACAGGCGCATTAATTTTCGTAACGAAAAAATTCCCGATTGGTCGAAAAAAATTTTATATTATGTTATTCTTATAGATATACATGCTTAAATTCAGTCCCATGATTATTTACTTCAGTGTTAAACAACAAACTAAATTGAAATTAATAACGGTTACGAACTTTGATTTAGAATGATATGGTATTCTTCAGACTGTTATCTTATAACTCCCCGTGGTCATGCTCGCTTTGGAAGCGAAAGGTCTGAAGTTCAAATCCCAGTTCAGGGGACTTATTTTAAGCCAAATAAACATTGAATTGAATATCAGTGCAATGTTGCAATTAGTCTTATAGCCAATTTACTATAGTAACAACACTGGAAACAGCATTGGTGACACTATACAAACAAATTGGTTTATAATCTCACAACCTTCACCTTTCTGACATTACAAAACAAATTCAGCGCCTTCTGTGCTTTGATTTATAAAACAGAATTAAGATACAGGAAAGATACCCGCCAAAATTCATATTCTTTCATTTAATGCTAACAACTTATAAGGAACTCTTATTTTCATTTGTTTACTGTAGGATTTTGTTCAAATTTTGCATAAACAAACACAAAGTTTGAATAGGTAAAGACTTGTTGAAATAAAGTAGTAAATGAGATCTTCGGAATAAAGTACTACGTTATAATGTTCATCTTATATCTATTCAAATATTAATTTAGACTGAAACCATTGTTGTTTATGTTCTGGTTTTGTTTAGATAAAAGATATAGATGCAGACGAAGAAGAGGTTTTCTGTGGACAATTGTCTCCCTTCATGTGGGAGTCACGTGGTTCTGACGTCAGAATTCAGTATGATCAGACTTCCGGTAATGGCGGATTTACTGCTTCGTACTCAGTGAAAGACATATAAAATATAAACTTTTAGAAGATAAGAAGAAAACACTGATATATTATCGATTTGTGAAAATAATACAGTTACCCGTGTTGCTAATGCTTACCTAAAATAAATAGCCTTTATGTTTTTTGAGTTTTCACGACAAAAGTGATGCCCTGCGTACACCGCCTCATCAAGTCATTCAGCATCTTTCATCTTCCAATTCGCTCCGTTTAAATATCCGTCAGAAAAAAAGGTATAATCTTGATAATAAACTGTAGCTTTTTTTCTTCAAAAGAATATATTCAAACCCAGTTGAATATAGTATTAAATACAATCCAAAGCGTACAAATATACTTATGTGACTTTTTCCTATACATAAACATTTTTGGCACCAAAACATATTAATAATTGATTATTTTGCATCATCTATGAAAGAAAGACCTTTTAATCATATTATTTGTTCACAATGATATTTTGTTTTTGATTATTTTATCTTGAATTATCATAGTCTTTCTTGCCCTCATCTGTCATATTGCCTTGAAATGAAATAAAATTGTCAGCCATATCGAGTGATGTTTCTGTTTTCTTTTATTTAGTAAGATTTCTTTCTTTATTACCATTCTTCTTCTTATTATTATTATTATTGTTATTGTTATTATTATTATTATTATTATTATTAAAATGAAAGCTATGAACGGGAAAGTCGGTTAAAATAATCGTTCAGAATTCCTCGGGTTTCATTGTTACCTTGAAAGTCAAAAGGTTGCGTTTGGTCTATTATCGGAATACCCCGCCGTTTGTCATTGCGTTACGGCGCCTTATTTGTCCTTTATCCTTGTAAATTGCATCGAAATATGATTGGAATAACGCTTTCATTCATGACTGTATAATAAGGCAAAGCCTCAAAGCAGGATCTCTCAAATAGAAAGGCCATGCTCAAAGCGAGCTCTTTGGCAGAAATTATAGTACATTATAATTTAAACCCATCGGCGGCTACACTTTTCATGTTTTCAATACACTTAGAACGGCACACTTTCGGCTGCACAATTCAATCAAAACATCCACACACTCCATACGGCTATTTCATGTTTTAAATGATACCTCAATTGAATCCATCCGTCAAAGAATATAGATGGAAACCATAATAGGACAGGGAACCAAATAATAGTTCGGGTAATATGAAAACTATGAAATTAGGCAAAGCCTATGGTCAGGGAAGTCGGTTAAAATAATTGTTCATTTTTACTTTGCATTTACCGTTTTAAAAGTGCCATTCGGTATTTCTTGCACTGCTTCCATTTATTCTGGTTGCCTGTCCACAGAAGTGAGCAGGAAACCAGTCTACGCATCTGTTTTCAATCAGAAATCCTCGCTTTTAATGTTGCAGTATTTCAGGCGAAAGGTTTCAAAACCACCACTATCTAGCAAGTACTTGCGTTACTTCCTTTTGGGTCTGCTTTTGCAACTCGCTATAAATCAGTGGGTAGTAATTATTTAGAAGTTTTAAATAACATAGTACATTTCGGCTGCGAACTTTTAGCATTTAATTACTCAAGCGCTTGTTCTTGTATATACTGAATACGGTTTTTAGTGTGGTACTCCCAATATTTCTTTAGTCTCACTCTTTCTAGAAAAGGTATTCTTTCAACCGTCATCGCAAATTAAATGGCGACTTGTTTAAACTGACCTTTATCTATGGTGATTACTTTATTGTTTATTTTTAGATAGATGGACAACAACAAACAAGCTCACTTAAAAATGTAAAATCTGATGAACAAAAACAGGCAGTGGCCTCGACTTCTAAGCTTAAACATATTGAAGAAAGAATATTGCAGTAAATGAATACTCCAATGAAGAAAAAAAACTGTTTTTAATAAATTATACATGCAATTCGAATTTCATTTTTGACATTGACGGTCAAAATCATTTAAAGGTCAAGGTCGCATTTGAATTAATCATCATTGTCAGTTTTGTCATACATGTACTTTTATCCAAAAATAAACAAAATCTATAAATAAATAACAAAGTTATGCCAATTTTATACAGTTTCAATAAGTTAACCTTGCCGCTAAATGTCAATAAAAGGTCAAGGTCATATCAAAATTATTTAACACGTCGATTTGTCATATGTGGTATTTTGTTCAAGTGTAAATCAAATCTGTAAATAAGTAATAAAGTAATGACAATTTTAGCTAGTTTCAATAATTTGACGTTGAAGGTCAAGATCAATTAAAGGTCAATGTCCTTTCAGAATAATTCAACATGACAGTTTAGTCATATGTGCTCTTTTGTCCAAGTATAAAACAAATCCTTAAAAAAATATAAGAAAATTTCCATAATCAATTGAACATTAAAGGTCAAGGTAAGTTAAAGATCAAGGTCATTTCCGAAGACTTCATGCTGATTTTGTCATAATTGTTCTTTTGTCCAAGTATGAATAAAATAACAAAGTGATGATAATTTGAGCAAATTTCAACAATTTGACCTTGAAGGTCAAGGTAAATCGAAAGTTCAAGGACATATCAGAATAATGAACGTATCAGCATAATTCAAATTTTAGTCAAGTTATGTGTTATTTTGCCTAAGTATCAAATCCGTAAAAATAGAACAAAGTTATGAACATGTCTGCAAATTTCAATAAGATATAATTATCAGAGTCTTCATTGAAAGAAGTATTTATTAATTGAAAATAGTAAAACCGTGTCCATACAATCACATTCCATATATAACTTACACTCCGAATACTTGAATATATATTTGTATATGCAATTCTCTTGTATGATATATATTTTGTTCAGGTGTTTTTTCTTTGTCGGGGAATCATAAATAAATTTGTACATGTACATGCGCTTGTCAGAAGGTCTAAAGTACATACGTCTGATAGCTCATCTTTCTGACAGCAACATTACTGATTTCACGATTCCTCGGTAAGTAATGATGTCACGCCATCAATCAGCAGGGTAGTCCCGTGTTTTTATTTCCGTATCCTATTTCACATCCCCCTGTACACATTAGCTCCTCTCCCGTTGTAAAAGTGGCATCAATAGCCAAGAAAAGGCAAGCAAGTCCAATCTCCCGGGGTTTACCTATTCTTTGAATAGTCTGAAATAATAGATTGGAAATAACGTTGCATTAAAGTAGCCTTACCGCATTGTTTTCCCGCCAAAAAATTTCTAACATCGGTAAGTATCGTAATAAATCGGTCATTTCCGGAACGTTACTTTTCACCGTCTTAGGTATCCAATATTTTTGACGTTTTATAACCGGAATTTAGAACATAGAGATTAATGATGAGTGATTAAAAATAATCTTATACCCAAGATTTTGAAAAAAAAACGTCCATAAATAACCGATTTGCTACGATATTGACCGAGGTTAGAATGTTTTGGCGGGAAGGCATACGTAATCAAAGTACTGAAATGACGATGACGATTTTTGTATTTTGCAGGATTGTTTTTTCCAAACATTTTAGACAATAAAGATGGAAGCGTATCTCGTGATTTTACTAATTACTTGTTATCTATATTATTTGCTTGGTGTATCGGGCCTTATAAGTCCGTGTACTGTTTTAATGTTTACAGGCTTATAGATGTTCAGTTTTGAAAGTTAAGAATGTCGGAATTTAAAAAGATATTTATAATTTATAAAATATTAAGCTGAATTTTAACTTTTGTATAATTCAGAATTAAAACGACAATACAAAAGCTAAATGCGTTGACTTTATGCGTTTGTTTTATTTGACATGAGAATGTTAACGGAAACCGACACGAAGTATTGTCTACAGAAGGTGGAAAGAAAACACGGCAACGAGTCTGACATGGCGTTATTTAAAGTTGTACTGTACAACAAAACAAAAACTTAAATAATGAAATCATTTTGGTAATAGTGACAAATAAAACAACATGTTTGCGTGAGGAAATCTGATTTGTAGCATAAATCAGGTATGTAATCTAAATCTCTTATATCTATATATCTGCATAAATGTATCATTCAACTTACATGACAACTTTCCAGCGTTGCAATAGTCTCCTTCGGCCAAACCTCGCGTAGTAACGGTGTTTCTATAGCCCCTGGAGCAATACTAGAATAAAATAACGCATTACAATTCAGACTTTAAAAAGCAGGCGTCCAGATTCATGCTAATTTTCATGACATTTTTTCAATTTTTAAATGTATTTAAATTGTGAGCCAAGACAATAATTAACACATTGTAAAGAACACTTGCACCCAAATAAATTACCAAAAACAGGTTAAAATAAGCAAAAATAGCGCGTACTTCGTTCGAAACGCAGTAGAAATATGGTATTCCACACAACATGTACATTATGACCTGAATCTTAAATCTTTTTCACTTTTCTTAAAATCATAGTACATTTTTCTCGAGTTTAATATTCTTGAAATATTTTGCTGCTTTAATTCAAATGAACTATTTTACTTTACATGAACATCAAATGATACTAAAGTCTGGATGCATGAACTATTTGTTGTAGTTATATTACATGGTAGGTACATGAAGTCAGTGTTACGAGTATTATTTTAGCCTCAACCCGTTGTGTATTTCATATATTATTTTGACGTCATATTTATTGACCTTTCCTACGATATCGTCATTTTATGAAAAAAGTGCAAAATAAATAAGATCTTACAAAAGAATTATTTGGACCATCAACGTTAGGGAATATATTTCTTTACAGTGAATGAATGCATTCATTTTTTTTTCGTAATGAAGAATTCATAACTTACGAGTTCACCCTCACTCCATACTTGGCCTCGTCAATAGCCAGTGCTTTTGTCAGTGATTTGACGCCACCCTTTAATTTAGAAAACTCAAATATAAGAAAACTCAAATACGTTAATCATTATATAGTTTTATTGAACTAATATACATATACGAGTATTATTTACAAAATGTAGAAAAAATGGTAACATATGAAAAAGAACATTAAGCTTGTTTTAGCATTGCTTTAACAAATCACTAAGCTGGCTTAGTTCCGATACGGTGTTCCGCGATGGTATTATGGTGATAACGCGATTTCATTATGGTGCAAATGCGATTGTATGATGGTGATGACGCGATGGTACGATGGTAAAAACTCGATATAACATCGCGTTTCTACCACCGTACCATTGCGACATCGCTATTTCCCCATCGTACCATCGTGTTTTCATCATCGTGTCGTCGAACCATCACGTTTTTACTATTGCACGCTCGTGCATCGCCGGCCAGGACAAAATAAAAAAAAACACGATTGTCAAAACGGAACACTGTATTTGTAATAATGAATTGAATATCGTTTCACAGAAATGTGTAATTTGTTATATGCAATTATCAATATGTTATTTAAAGTGAATTGGTCCAAAATGGAAGATCTGCTATACCATAAATAATTATTTTGAAAGTTTTTAGTATTATAAATAACAACAAACCACCAAAGCATTATACATGTATGTTTTTGGAAAGTGTGAGATACATGATCCAACATTACATATCTATACAGTATATCTGGAACAAACAATTACTTGTCATCATAGACTAATAAATGTTCATACTAAATACTATAGGACTTTAACGAAATGTTTGGAAAAGAAATATTTCAAAGGAATATCCAAATAATACATTTTATATCAATATCTGAAATACTTATAAAAATTGCGCCCTATGTAGACCAATCCACTTAAGTGAAAACTTACTTTTGTAGCGCAGTAAGTTGTTGAGTTCTTGAATGCAGCATTGGCACTGATACTTGATATGTTAACAATTGAGCCCTTTGTTTTTCGTAGATATGGGAGCGCATACTTAAACAAGAAGAAAATATAAACTTTCAAATATGTAACCTCACTTGTCATTGGATAATCGTGATATTTTTATAATCTATATACACGGCTGCTGTCAATTTATGAAGTTATGTTAGTTTTTCTCAAATAATGTTGGTCTGCCATACTGTATCGTTATTAAGATGTCTAACACGTTATATGGTCCAGTGAGCCGGGTTATTAAATCTTCATTTCCGTCTTCACTTAAACATATAACCTTTCCCTAATAAAGTACAGGCATACAATTATGGAAATATGATAAATAAGATATGGTTGAATCAATCATAAAAGAACATATTATTTAAATCCATGATTTACATTGTACATTGTTAAAGCCTATGATTAAAGTATAGGTATCACCTCGGTCAATATGTCATCTGCCGTTGAATATCACACCATATTCAAATATAGCTTTAGATGTATATGTACGATAATTCTTGTATATTTGATAATGGCCATTGCTTATTTGTAAATGTTTGACTAAATGTATACATCTATTTTGATTACCTACCCTGCTTATCTTTTAAAACCTTCCCTTGTATGTATGTAGTTAATGCTTAATGAGGGTCCATCCCCCCGCAAGGGCACAAAATGCAGCTTTCGCTGTCAAGTACGGACCCCGGACATGTCACCAGTCATGCCCTTAAAGAGTTTATTTTGAAGCACAAAGTGGTGATAATTTACCTCCATGCCATTTCCACGGAGTATTAGCCAAAGATATGAATTTTAAGCCGAAAGTTGGTCACTGTACGGCGGTCAATGAGAACCTAAATTTACAGTAACCTGTGACAATATGAAAGGTTAGCCCTGACAAGGGCTGTTTGTGCCAGCAAAAGGCTTGCCTTTCAAGCTGTCTAACTGTGCTAAGGGCTCACACACTTTAGCACACCATCCTCGTCGACCCAAGCGCCTACTTTGTAGGGCCACTCCCCTCGGCATGAGTCAGGACACCGGCAGCTGGTCCGCAGTTGTTGACGAAGTAGCGGTCCCGTGATAACGCCCACGGTGGCTTCAATTTGAAATAACTACCAGTCAAGCTGTAAATCTTCTGCCGATGCCCTGTGCCTTCTCAGCGATGTGCACGCTCCGAGGGGAAGTGAGAAGAAAAACCTTCCCTTGATTATCTACCTTCCTAATATGACTGCCGTTGCTTATATGATAACCTGCGGCTACTTACACAGTAATGTAAAAACCTGTCGTCGCTTATATGAAAACCTCTCGTTGCTTATATGAAAACTTGCCTGGCCATTAAAACATATTTTGATTACATGAATACCCAATTTGGTCACGTGATAAACTACCGAAACTACACGAAAACTTACCTTGCTTGCAGTAAAATTACTAATTAAATTATCCTCCAATAGGTTCCGGAAGTTTTGTACAGATATCTCGTCAATACTTTTTGGACCATAATCTGAAAAAAATCAGGTCAAAGGTCAATCAGTTTTTATGATATTTTTCAGTTAAGAATAAAAATCTTAATTTAAATTCTACAAAGTATTTCAATAATCAATTCTTTAAAACCCCTATTTTGTTTATATAAAACTTCAAAAAGATATACATTTATTCCAAATACCGACTATCATTTAATTTAAGCGTAATGAAAAAAGAAATTGTTCAAATGTTTCTACAAAGAAAAAGGATGACGCGGATGAACGGGGTAAGTGATGGGGTCAAATTGCGACAATCCGATGCTCTGGTTGCAAAAATGGCGGACAAAAAAAGCTTTCTGGAGTCCGTGGGGCATTTTTTTTTATTTGGCTTTTTCATTTTGTTTTTAAAAAGCATTTATCACTTAATAAAAACACGTAAACACATTAAGCGATAGTCTGGTCGCATATAATGTGAAACATATGCTCGTGGACCGCTACCCCCAACAACACAGCCACACCGGACCACCGGAAAAGTTATCTAAAATATCCTCACGCAAAAGTTTCAACGAAAAGTCCAATAGTCAGGGCCCTGATTCGAAATGGGCAAAAGAATGGAAAAATGAAGTGCAGTCATTCAATCAAATCTAAATGAAAGCGTTTGTGTTAGATATTTTTTTCTTTTTTGTTTGCAAATAAATGGAGCAGGAAGGAGAGGAAATGGATTTTTAAATTCGGAAAAATAAACCCCGTACGGGGGATTATGGGAAAAAAACCCCCTCCACTATGGATGAAAATGGGGAAAAAACCCCCCGCCCACTATGGAAGATTTGGGGAAAATAAACCCCGTTCTCTATGGGAAGTTATTGGAAACTAAACCCCGCCCACTATGGAATGATTATGCGGAAACTAAACCCACCCACTACGGAATGATTATGCGGAAACTAAACCCCGCCCATGTACTATGGAATGATTATGCGGAAACTATAACCCGCCCTTTTTGGAATGATTATGATGAACTAAATACTTTGGGCAAAACAGATTTGCTATACGGCATACGAATGAACTGTTTCTTTGCATATCCGATTGAACAACACTAAATATTTTGTGTATTCATAGCTCCATTGAGGTCAAAAAGCCTGAAACACAAAATTTGGCATTCCTACATAGATTAAGCCATGCACTTAACATTAAAAAAGTAAAGTAATTAACTCAGAATTTCTTTTTCTTTTTGATGCGATTTTTAGCCTGATTGAATGAAAAGCACTGCAACATATTTCATTTTTGATCATTTTGCATGTCTTAAATGGTACACAAAACTCGGATAAATATTTCCAGTCACATACAGTCGTAAAAAAGACCTAAGTTGAGTCTCTTTAAGCACACCGCATTTAAATATTAGTCCTAATTTTCGAACCGGTTTGCATTTTGCATGAAATGCATTTTAAGTATGTTTTGTTAAGTTGTTACATTAGCAGCATTTTTGTGCGGTGAGTATTGTGATTATGAATTAAAGAAGACGGAAATTAAAGGGCAACTGAGGGTTTTTTTTTTAAACTTTAAGGACATATTTATTCAAGACTTGCATAGTCTGTACCAATAATTTGTATTGCAACGTTTTGCATTCAAACAAGGCCAAATATCGAGCAAAAAAATCAATTTTCAATTTAAAGATATACCATGCTCATCCTTGGGTAAAATATTTTAATCAAAACATTTATTGAACTCTTTGAACTTCAAACCGAATATGTCTAATTTGAATACAAGAATGAATAAATTATATATTGGAAGCTGCGTTCCCTATTAAAGGTCAAGTAAAGTTGGCCTTTGTATGGTGGTGGTAGTTTTCACGACGGATCACGGCAGTAAGGCACATTAAATTTACCAGAGCAGAGTTCAGCCACCGCATCGTTCCTGGGCAGGTTGGCAGGCAGTCTGCCAGTATTAGTTGCCTCCACTTTGGCAAGGAACAGAAACTCCTGTAAATTCCAGAGCAGAGGTACAGTGCGAATGACCGTAGAAATGATTTCATTATCAATCACAACGAAAGTGCCATCAGGGAATCGAACCGGGGTCGCCCAATTCACAGTCCAACGCTCTACCTATTGAGCTAACCGGACAACCTAAACACTACCTATATATTCATATTATGACCATCTTTAGTGTGTAGAACATTTCTACTTTGTGTGAAGCCTTCGTATATGTAGCAAATTCTAGCAATTATCAATATTTTCTAATATCAAATCTGAGCATAGTATATCTTTAACTCAGTATATCTATCTATATCTATCTTTATAGTCTTTGCAGTATTTTCCATTTAAAGAGCATAACTTTATCTATGCAAGAATTTCAAACTTAATGTTTTAAGCCTGTTGACCACAGTGGAGCTCCGTTAATGGAAGTCGTCCGACTTTCATACTGAAAAAAATCATGGCCACATTAGCTGTTGGCGGCAACTGATTCTACTCAAAACGAACAGTGCAGACAAGAAATCTGTCGGCACATCCGGGCCATCTTGTCATGTTAGTGCAGGTCTGTACTAAACGATATTCAAGTCTGTGCATTTTATTCAAATTTCCCCGAAAGTTAATAATTGGTCTTGTCCAGGATAAAAGATGGACGGGTCAATTTAAGATATTTATTTAAGTGTTACTTAATATTTTCTTGTACTTACAGCAACCAACATTGTTTACAAGACAGTCTATTTTACCCAGTTTCTTCACGGTTTCTTCCACGCAATTCTGTAGACCAAAAACAACCAATGTATCAATGAGCCAAATAAAAAATTAAAACTATTTTAAAATACCTATTTCCTGTATAAAAAGCATTACGAGAAAAAAATAGAAAGTACAAAAAACTAAGAATAATAGAGGTACAACAACAAAACACTGTTTGATATAGTGAAACAAAGTCAATTCTTCTAAGTTTAACTTATGGAAAAATCAGTGGTTGGCTTTTGGGCAAGTTCTAGTATTTCTTTCTTTCTTTCTTTCTTTTTTCTTTCTTTCTTTCTTTCTTTCTTGTTTCTTTCTTGCTTGCTTATTTCTTGTTTCTTTCTATCTATCTTTCTTTCTTTGCATAAATATTTTAGGAACTTAAACTACCATACAGAAACCCTGAAAAGGATGTTATATTTAAAAATCCTATCTAAGACTTGTTTAGATTGAATTTGAACACATAAATAATTGTAATGCATAATTCCTTGTTAAAGGAATAAAAAAAATAGAAACTACATGTTAACATGATGTCAATTAACGAGACGATTTCATGCAGCTCTCGACTTGTGCTTTTGTCATATATTCTTGTATAAAAAACTGCTCGTTTAGCAAAACATTTACGGAAAAGAAAGCATGCATTAACTTCTAATCACGCGAGCACGTGCCGATTTTCAATGCGCCATATAAAAAGTGTTCAAGGCAATAACGAGTCGGTATTCATATCTGGACTAATAGTTACTCTTTCAAATGACATTGTCTTTATATTGCACTAACAGGTGAAAAACAGGACGAAACCGAATAACAGTATCTTGACGCATTTTTTGGCAAGAATAGCGTTAATGTTTGGTACATTGCGCGTTGCGTTGTCGATAGCGACAACGCAACCTATATCGTTATCGCCTTTTCCTCTTGTCGCTTGCGACAACACGACAAAGCGCCAAACGACGCGTTGTCGTGTTGTCGTCCTGTCTCTGGCGAAGCATGCAAATCGGCGCTTTGTCGTGATGTCGCCCTGTCGCTTGGCTAATAAGCCAATCCTTCGATTTGAACCAAGCGACAATGTGACATCGCGACAACACGACAACGCGCCGTTTGGCGAACATCGTTAGCGACAGGACGACAAGACGTACGTTCGACAACGCGACGTTTGACGCTTTAGCGCTAACACGACACACGAAAGCGTTCTAAATCAGCCACCATAGCAGAAGCCCCCGAAATTATTGAGTAAATTTCTTGCCTTATAATTTGTTTTCGTATACGATGAAATTAACCCTCTAATATTACACGGCTAAGATGCTCAGTACTATAATCATGGTGACAGCCCGTTCGAAAGATTAAATTTAAAAGCGCCAGACAGATAAACTGTTCAGACTCATCTGATATTGCAAAGATATGTACCTCAACTTCTTCTTCTTTTCTCATGTTGCAGTGAAAGTATATGATTTCCCCAGGTCCATCAGACTTCATGGCTTGTCCGACATCGTCTGTAAAAAGAATAAATAGTGCGTGCGTGAAATGAAATTTAAGTACATTTGTATCTATCTTCAACTGTAATTTTTATCAATTCGTTCATGTTTTAGTGAATTTAGTTATTT